GCAACAATCACACTAATACTTATCGACTAATATTTTACTGATTTCGGAAATTGATATTTTCACAATATGATGATTGTCACATATAAAGTTCGATATGTAGTGACATGTTTCACGTGGTAAGTAAAATTCTGTTTACTGACAATAATATAGTTGTTTGACAGATCTATATTTATCAAAATCCATCTTCAGACATCTCAGAAGTTCATCTTTTTATTTGACTGTGTATGTACTGGATCACAAAATAAACTATATAATGATCTTGTGGTTTCCTACAATAATTTCTACTTAAATGAACTTCGAGAATATTGATTGTGTTCAGTTTCAACTGAATGAATAAATAAATTTTAAAAATACTTGACTACTGCAGGTAGGTAAATTAATCAGTAAAAAGCACTCTGCTTCAGATTTTAAAGCGGCAAAGAACCCTATTTAGAAGTTTAGATAAAGACGAGTAGAACGAAGAGACATTTCCTTTCAAATCTATTTTTAAATCTCTACACTGACAAGTTTACCACTGATAATAAATTATGCAAGTGAGGTGATGGTTAGTGGTCTCATAGATTCACCTGTTCATGAAAATAACTGCGAATAACTGGCAGAGAATAAGATAGATTATGTAGTAGATAGTCAAAAGTATTAATTAATATATTCTAAACTTGTAATATGTGGCTAGGGAATTAACAAAAATATAAAAGAATAAAATAATTTATAGAAAGTTTAATATTAATAAAAGTCAATCAATTAAAGGAGGGAAAAATATCATAAGATGCAATGATGAAGGAAGTAATAAGTTGTCAGATCGATGAAAACGCTGTTATCGTTCTTGTACAAGGTGATGACAGATTGTTGTTTTCATTTTTTTTTTTAATGAAACGACTTTTTGCTAGAGAGAAATGTCTCCACATTACTGTTGGTAGTTCATGCATCTAGTATTAAGCTGAATCATACATTCCATGTTAGATAATGCATTGTTACAGTGAGATTCTCAGATTTTAGCATATGAGAAGTAGTTTGGCTACATTCATTTAAAAACTTTTACAAACGAGTAAATTGAAATTGTTGGCAAAAACGACTATGCGTACATTCTCTTTAACTTAAATAATCGTCTGTAAATTTTTGAAGAAAAATGACGCCGTGTTTTAATTTTGATGAAGATTGTATATAATTTTCAGAGTACATCTACTAATAATTTATCTGAACTTTTATAATCAAACATTTCAATCATCAATAATATGCTGATACTGGCTGATATAGTTAAATTGACTCTTCAATGGTAAACCAAATTACATAATAATGGATATTTTACTTCCATAAATACTAAAGATTTACCAAACTAATCCTCTCTCTACAGATAAACTTCTCAATTATACCTAAAACCTCCAAATAGTGAAAAGCAAGCTAATAATTATAATTAGCAGCGTAGTTTGCAATTACACAAGATATTGTTTTGTTGCATGTTGATGACCAAAAGGAAATACAGTAATTAACTATGCTAGAAACTCGATTGTAATGGAAAGTGATTCTCTGATTGTATCGTTGAGTAGTATTCGTATATTAATTACTTCATTTTGTATTTATCTTTATGAACACTAGGCGTTACGTAACAAATTGAAAGCACTCCATTAGCCAATTCAATGAGTTCACGCACTTTCTTAAAGTACAAAAACAAATGCTATCACTGTTGTCTTGAAGTATAATAAAAATTTCATGATGACTGAAAAGTCGATTTCAAGGTTATGGTTCATGTATCAAATCAAAAAAGGCTGGTCATGTTATAACTAATTTTCATGAGAAATCATTATTGAATATTTACAAAAACCTTATAGAAAATGCTCTTCTGTGTACATGGAGATAAGATAGCAGTGAAAAAATGTGAATCATTACCCGACGGAATCATATTCTTATGTGATATGTGTTGGTGTAGCAAGGCTAGCAGATTTGCTTGTTTTACTTTCACTTAGGTAACGAAACTTACAACTATGTAAATGTTCCCTAGTCCGAATGCTATAGAGTCAAGAGGATTATTTACACTTATCTGGTGTTTTTCGATATCACGACAGAACAATCGATAACCGATCGAGAAAAATTCATTATTCACACGAAAACAGTATATATTTCCCAAGTCCCACTTTATATCATTTGCTCATTTATGCTGGAAAGTTAGAAAATTTCTCATAGACCTTTCAGACGATGCGCATTTTTGGTACTATACGTAACTATTTATTCAAAAACATCTGGTGGTCCACTTGTAATTACCACGGTTTGTTTAATGAATCATACCAAACTTGATCAGCATAGATAAATTTTACTTAGAATTCATTATTGGTAATTTTTCAGCTAATCGAAGAAAGATGAAAGGTTTTTTTTATAACTGGACTTTAAAATTTTAGTTTTATGTGGAAAAACACTTACACTTCTTCAAAGCAACAGACATTTTGGTAATTTAAAAATGGTTTAATATAACTTGACATGCTTGGAAAGTTAAAACGTGTCCATTTTATTGGACAAAGAATAATTTTGTTTCTTCCAAAAAAGTTACTTTCCGTAACATTTTTCTTGGATTTGTATTGCAGTTAAAAATAGCAAAGAAACTTCCCGGGTATATCAGTATTGCTTCATTTTTTAAACGATTAACAGACTGATAACTTATTATATGTGCACTTGGTCTACTTACTAATATTAACCAAACTTATTTCCCTCAAACTACAAATACAATTATCAAACGACTGGTTTGATGAAATAATCCGACCAGAAGAGTAAGTAATCCAGATTTAGAAAACTGGAAAAGGCACGACATCGCCTCCACCAACTTTCACGACCTGTCATAGTCCGAAATGCTTGCAGTAGAGCGGAATCCATTTATTTAATTTCATCTGGACATAATGAATCAAATTGTATTTTCATTTAAAATAGCGTTTCATTTCTTAATCTGTTGTATTGCCTAGTGATATTTTTCTTTGGAATTAGTATTTTCGGGAAAAACTACATGGGATTAAGGTGGTGAACTTTAAATTTAAATTTTTCGATTTTTTTTTTGACTCATCTGGCAATTCAGTCTAAAACTTGAATATCCACTAAAGTTTGTTGATCTAGTGTTCAGTCTTTGCTATCAATGTCTCGCATTACTCTAGTTTTAGAAATTGGTTTAACAGAATGTCTGGTTCATATTAGCTTAACTTTGATTGTACATTCAAGGAGGAAATTCAATTTCTTAAACCTTTACCTTCTAGTCTAATCGTCGTGAATTATTTTATTAATTTGATTATTTAATTTTCTTTGCATTTGATTCACAAATAGAACTAAACATTTACATACAATTTCTTAATTTCGAACAAACACACATCCTATTCCTACTCATAGAAAAAAATACGTCGAATGATTTTGAATCAGTCGATTTACCAAATAATTAATCTACCATCATTTACTTGGTACTCCTCAACTTACTTAATTGTATGATCTGTATGTTAGTATTAAGCTACAACGCAGAATCAAGTGAAGAATATTTCGTTTGACTTATGTTTCTGAAATTAGTTAACATAGGGTTTGAGATATAATAACCTAACATATAGTACCAGGTTAAAAATTACGTAGAATTGGGAATTAAATTAATCAAGCTAGATAGAGAAAAGTATAGTGAACGGTTAATAAATCTTCTAAGTGCTTAACAAAATAATAATAACCGTACTAGACAAATTTAAACTGTGAGACTGAGGTTTATCAGTTAAGAAATAGGTTGAACATACTTCTTATGAACTCGAAGCTCCAATTTTCTCATCACATTTGAGTACAAATGATGGTTTCTAAATAAATGGACTAGATAATTCACATTCAAGCTGTTTAAAATCCTAACTACACTTTAACTTAGTCAGGCCCCAAACATTGATCGGATTAATCCATAGGAGCTGTTGAAATGATAAATAAAAGGAAAGTCCTAAATTAGCCACTGTTCTCAGTACCACCATCAAGGGTGAGATATGCGTCGTTGAACGATCTCAAAAATACCATTATGTTAGGTTTCTCCCCTCTAAACTCTAACCGTATACACATGTGGCCGAGATTTACACATCAAATGTGTCTCCTAATGACTTTTATGCAAAAGAATTTCCCTGCAGATTTTCCGTTTTCGTTGTAGTTCTGTAGCACATTTTGTTTCTCTCCAACAATATAGGTATTATATATACTAAAAAAAAAGAGAATATGTATGTCAGTTCATAGGACTGGTCAGATTATTGCTAAAAAGGAGTTACAATAGAATAAAAGAGTACAGTACAGTACAGAAAATGTATCACGGAACATTTATTCACCCAAAGCTTTACGGTGATATGAAATAAACAAAAATCAAATCATTTCAAAGTAGTGTTTATCACCAGAATTTCTATTAGTTAGTAATATATCTGAAAAGCATAGATTCAGATGAGATGCTGCATAGCATCAACGTATGAGTTTTAAGGCGTAAAATGTCATACCATTACCAGAGAGAGTATATTGAATACTGTTGTTTAGCTTGGTGTTTTACATCAGTCAAGTGTTAAGTGTTAAATGATGATCACTGTTACTGATTCGGAAACTATCCAATAGGTTTGATTGATTGGAGTGAAATAAGTTTAATTGAGTAACAGTAATATTACTGGTGCAATATTACGATAAACAATCGTCGTGACATAAAATGTCGGTAGATTTTGATTATATTTGAAAACTACCTTATAGTATATTTAGAATAAAAACATAGATCATTAATTGTTTTATATCTCTAGGTATCACTTTGCTTAACCTGCTTAAAAAGGCAAAGTCTATGCTTCAGTAAGTACTAAATTCTATAGTTAATGTTAATATGTACATTCACTTAGCTTCAAAAGGCGTGTAAATAGTTGCCGAAATTTACTTTGAATATTAGCGGAAATGTAAAAATATTCTGAGTATTGATCCAATGCGAATCACTTTCCGATGGGTCTAAAAGTTTCAACCTAATATTTACTTATGTTCAAAGGAAACAAGATCTACAATCTAATTATGATTTTTATTTCAAAATAATAGAATGAAATTTTTAATATTCGAGATTGAAATAATAGCAAGTACTGTTATAGAATAACCAATAGAGACAAACAGAAATATAAAATAGAACATGGATCTTTGAAAAAAAATGTTATTCAGTGGAATTTCTTCTAAATACAAACTAAACACTTTCAATATATCTGTGAAATCAGAAAGTAATATTGTCTAATTGTTCAAAAATCTTGAAAATAAACAAGGGAATACAAGTAAAGCACTGATTGTAAGGCAATTATTTGATGAGTGTGATAATGTATTTTTTTTTAGGTAGTATGTTTAGAACAAGAAGATTAATATGGTGTATTGGTCAGCTTAATTTTTGTGTCTGCATTTGTTAAGTCAATTGATGAGATACGACTGGAACACCGTCACGTTGTCTATCACAATGTTTTGGTTTAAAGTAGGAGGCATTTAGATCAGCTGGCAAAACAACAGATACTCCATCTCGGGAACTGATGATAATATCTGCAGCTTTTTCCGCCATCATAATGACAGGTGCATTTAAATTACCTGAAACAATAGATGGCATTATACTCGCATCAACAATACGAAGATTGTCGATACCCCATACTTTACAGTCTGATCGTGTAACCGCTGCTTCTATTCTGCCATTTCCCAAATAACCATTTTGAATCTCTTCATCTTTTCCGGCTTTACGACCATCAGGATTTTTACCCATACGACAAGTGCATGAAGGATGATATGCGCTATCACCACAAGAACGTACAAATTCATCCAGCTGTGAATCTGATATTTTATCTTCACCCGGAGCCAATTCTTTTCCTGCAAATTCTTTCGCTAATGCAGGCTGAGCAAATATTTCGCGTGACAAACGGATGGCGGCTCGCATTTCTGCTCGATCAGTTTCACAAGCTAAGTAATTTGGGTCTATCTTTGGAGCGAAACCTACACTTGTTGGTGACAATAAAATTTGGCCACGACTTCTTGCTCTCAGGGGACCAACATGCACCTACACAAAATGTTCAATATTATTCGAAAATATTACATTAAGTCGTTTTATTAAGCTTCATTTGCAGTAAAATGTAAACTACGCTGTCCATGTGTAAAATTTCCTCATCAGTTTTAAGTCATTATTGTTTTGTGTCAATCGACTTTAAACACAGGCTTTATCAAGCATTCGTGTGTTTTCATCAAAGCTTTATTTTAAATCAAACAGTCATCTTAAGTCAATTTATTATTTTATTTTCTAAGAATAACTTATTCTACTTACTGTTAACATTAGTGAAAACCTGAGTTATCTAGAATGCATAGTCAAGCAGGGATAAAGCATGCAAAAATGAACTAAATAACTAATAGCTCATGTTTAAGCAAGAAAACATATAATGTCAATGTTATTTAGGTTATTACTAATAATTTTCAGGACATCTGAAAGTTGATTTGTTCTTACATATAAAAACAATCATTGATTTGCACGATATATTGATTATTTGCTGATATTAATCAACAGAATAATGATAAACTGTGTTTTGGGTTTTTAGTTTACATCCTTCAAATATGATTGCAATGACACGAGTTCACTAATTTTTCACGCTTGTATTAGTTTTGAATACGATGTTTTTCTTTTTCATTCGCTGCGTCAGATCGTTTACCTCAGCCTTTCTTTATTTCTTCTTTGTTTTTGCTATTCGTTGCTGTTGGCTTTTTTGAAATTTGAGTTTGTTGTTTCACATTTGTAACATTTTTTCTTGTTCAAAAATCAGGTGGCATGATATTTGCAATTGATACATATTTGAGTAAGGTTTATAACTTGTCTTCACCCTCTCCTACGACTTCTACTAACTAATGTAGTGATTTTTATTCACATAAATATAAGTATACCGTTAAGATTAAATAATTGTTTGCTTTGCAGTTTACAGAAATTACTTGGTAGATTCTAGTCTATAAATCTAATGTCATTATGCAAATTTACTCTGACTTCTACCTCGTTATTCATTTTCTTTTGATGTGTATACATGACCATTGAAAACAGAGAATAAACAATTGATGTTTTCTTAAAAACTGCAAAAAGAAGAGATTATTCATCTGGTAGTTTTGATAATCACCGATAGAAGTACAAGCATTAGTTAGATTTGTATAAAATTGACAATGAATCAAGTAGCCTTTTTTTTCCCTCTGTTATTGAGTTTATTTTCTGATCACACTTCAAACACTGTTTATTACTAACGTAAAGATTTCATCTTAATTTAAGTGTATGTATGATAAGTGATCCCATTTCTGTCAAGAATGTTGAACACTGCAATACGACGGTTAAACTTATCACTTTTAAACTAGTTTTAGGATTCATAGGCAATATATTTGGGCAACAGTACTTTTCCAATGAATCATATTCATTCAAGTACGTCTTTTCATTTCCGTGTGCACATTTTTGTTGAAACAAATCAAAATAATCATATTTTTATGGCTAAAAGTAATTGAACGTTTCTTCAACGACAATATCTTTCCAACTGCATAAGGAATCTCTTCGGTTCTTCCGATTCTTATCTTCGTACTTCATTTAACAATAAATATTTGTTGAGCAATCCTTAAATATTATCATTCTACTTCACCTATCAAGTCAATTCTTCTCTGAAATGTAGCTAGGAATACAACTTGATTCCATATGATGGATTAATTTCCTTCTACATAATGAATAAAACTGTATTCACAAAATGAGATTCTGGTGAATTAACTGTTCATTTAAATATTTACTAACAAAAAATTGAAAACACTCGTAACTATTATAAACTTTGGTAAGATACAATGACAAATACATATGCATAAATAAAGCTAGAAAAGATTAATAACTTGCCACGAAATCTACCTTAAACAAGTTGATTTAAAAAAGGCTATCTTGAAACAAAACGTTTCTTTATATCAGAACACTTGTGCATTCTGTATCATGCATGCTAAGAGCCATATAAATTGTATACATCCTAATTAAAGCTGTGATCTTCTTTGACAATAACTGCCATAATGACGACCACTCTATACCGAAAATAAAATGACTTCAATTGGATTAAAATCGTGGTAAAATGTGCAATTCACTTGGCTCTTTGATTGACCCTGTTCAGTAATATGAGAAATATCAGGAGGTCATAACCAGTCAACATTTGTACTCATCATTGTTTTTTCTTTGAAACTATGCTAATGCCAAACATACTTTTGACCTGATATACCCCGATAACAAAAAGCCGGTAAATTTAAAGACTTCCTACTATTTTGATAAATCTAAACCGAAGTTATATACATCATTTGTTGAGCATGTTTAGTTTCAATCCATCCATGAAAAAGCTAGAAGCTAAGGATCAACATAAAAACACGAACTACATACCTGAAATGCATGCTGACTGCCCATTTTACGTCCATGATCATGGATTGTCGATGGTAGAAAATGAAACTGAATATTAGGATGAGAAATATTTGCTTCTGTTCTCGCGAAACCACCACTTTCTAAATGAGTTGTCGCCCCCCAGCCTTGACGGAACATTATCCATTTCAAACCGATCCCAATCATAACATGTGGATATTTCCACTGAGCTTTGTAAAGAGTTATTGGCTATTCAAAAAAGTTATAAACAGTTGACGAAGCATTCAAAGCTTATTTTATAACAGTCAGTTAGATTATTTTCTAATTTATTACAATGTAAACAAAGAAACAATATACACTAATCAGGTTTTAGTTTTTTTGTTGACGGCAGAACACACAAAACGTTTTGACATCAACAGCGAACTAACATGTAGTTGACCTTACATGAAGAACACATACTTGATTTCGGATTTCATAACTTTTGTTTTCCCGGAATGCTTAGATAATGTATTTACTTATTTCTCTCGAGAGAAATATAATACTAATTTGTCATTCTTTACAAAATGAAAAATACAAATACTCTAATATTTAAACTATATCTTGAATAGCGCATAAAGTACATGGGGTACATTGAACACATTTTATCCGAATAATAGAATGAAAACTCAATAAAATCATAGAAATATTAAAATGAATACGAAATATTACTTACATATACGTGTGGAAATTAAGCACAATTGTAAGTCATAAAAGAATAAATGAAGTCAATGTATACTCCAATATACTGTGTAAATTAATACATCATAAACAAACAGCTAACCCATTCATCTGAAGTGAAACTTCCTTACTGTGTACCATGTAGGATGAACTCATTTCTTTTTAGCTCTTTATAACTCTAGAAATCTCTGGTGAATGAAAAGGAACAACGATAGTATCGCAGCGAAAGTTTTCGTTTAGGATTTCTCGATTTGTGGTTGGTTATGTACATGTTTACTGTTTGATCACGTGATAACTATCTAAAGAAATTTGTTGCGGTAAAGCATAACTTAGTAAAAGAAAATGCTTATCGTGCAAAATAACATATGGTTACAATTTACATGTGGTACTTTCTAACCGGTTGCAAGAACAACGGCAAATCATCCATTGAGTTTACGATATCGGACATAAGTAGATCTTTTTTATTTCGATAGCTTGTAACATAATGTGTCATAGTTTTGTTGCATTCATTATACAGTATATTATGCCACTTGCAGAAGCCTAATCGTTAAGTTTGAATATTCAGAAATAGTGGAATAAGACTGACGATAATAACATTCGCAAGTTACGCAAAGCGATTATTTCAGCTTATTAATATCTGAGTTGACTGTTTTCGAAACACGTTTATGAGTCACAAGTCAGATAGAAACATTTCTATAACATTTCATCCCTATTCTCCGTAATTCACTAACGAAAACTTCACGATAGCTATATGTATTTTAATGTTTGTTTCATTTACATTATTTCCTGAGTTAAGAACAAGAATCAACACCTGTCTTCGCGAACATATAAACATCAAAATAAATGATGGTCAACAGTTATTGATAATTATGAGCCTAAATTCAATGATATATACTATCTGAATCAATAACACAAGTAAGATATCACTAAGTACCTTTTCACAAGCTTGTTGTACATATAATTCCAAATGATCTTGTAAATTTTGTCCGACACCGGGTAAATGATGCCAAGCATCTATTCCAACTGAGCGTAAGTAATCCACATCACCAATACCTGATAACATTAGCAAGTGTGGAGAGTTTATAGCTCCTCCTGATAAGATTACTTCAGATTCTGCCCTAGCCTTTTGAGTTAAAAGAGTAAAATAAGAAAACTTGTGTGTTGTCCAGTTAGAAAAAACTGCATTCTACGATTTACTGGAAGGTGAAAGTAGTATGCTTAAGCAAATAGTTCACTAACTGGGAAGGTTGTATTCAGCACCCAGCAACATCTGTATTCCACGTTTTCGTGTATTGTGACATTTTCGAAATTGCTAAAGTTATCCAGGAGCTACGTGTCAGCATTTATGATAATTCTGATGTTTTAAATTAGTCTTATTTAAACAATACGCAGTTCTATCTTAGCACACCTGGTAGATAGTGGTCACATTGTAGATAAATCTAGATCTTTTCGGGTGATCTATCGTATACCTCCATTATTTCCCAACGGAGTACGATCCCGTCTCCTACACATTGCAGAAGCCATAAGAATACGTACATTCAACCCTAATTTATGTGTTCAGAAGAAATTTGTGACACTCCTATCTCTTCCGTGGCCGGATATGACGTAACTAACGATTGACATTATATATATTTTTTATATTTTTATTTATTTTAACTTCATTTTTACATATTTGCTTATTACGTAATGTTTTTGATGATTATTTGAATTCTATTCATCCACCTTTGACCTACTTTAGTTATCATATTTTATCTATCTTCCTACTATCCACTTGTACTTTTGCCTTTTCATTTCATTGTGATTATCAACCTTTTAAATGGTAAATCTAAACAAGTTCTTAAGATTCTAAAACCAATCGGCTTAGGAGCAATCCTAGTTAACTGTAGCGTGAGTCTTGACCAAAGGACAAAAATCTTACTGAAGATTCTCATTCACATTCAGCTTAGGTGGATAATTACTATGCCTTTGTAATATGAATAAATAGATAGAAAAACTGTCATGTTTCAGAAGGATAAATGTTTTAAAATTGGTGAATTTAAACTAACTATATCTGCGGACTTAAATAGTATATAGTTTATAAAGGTTGTAGAATATAACAATACGCTGGCTCAGTTGGAAAACCGGGCTAATGAATAAAAGAAAACTGAATTAATGAAACAAATTACTGATGATAAATCGTTAGCTGTTCATTGAAAATATTCAGAGCTATGCAAATCTTTTCACAAATGAAATACTACTGAATTGCTAATATAATCGTAAATTTTTTTTCATTCCTAATTGTGTTTTATTGCAGCTCATTCTATAGGATTCTATAGGATTACCAACTATAAAAAGTCAAATCAAACATTTTAAAAGATTTACTCACTTCATGAACTTGACCATTTTTAGTGTATTTCACCCCAATCGCTCTTGTATTTTCAAAAAGTATCTGTGTGACTGTCGCATTTGTCTCAACAGTTAGGTTAGAACTGGACTTCAGAGCTGGATGTAAATAAGCACTTGCAGTTGACCACCTTTCACCGTTTTTAATCGTCATATCAAAGTATCCCACGCCTTCCTTAGAAAATTTCATATTGAACATTTATGACCATTTAAGTACACCAATAAATTAGGTCACATGAGGTATTAAAAATAAACAATTGCATATGTTCAACTAAGCAGTTTAATTCTCGCAATCAAGCGATAAATACTTTTATGAATGATCAAAGTCAGAAGTTGCGCTTCAACGGCCAACCTAATATATTCCCTCAGATAGAACACTGAAGTGATTTAGATGAAATTATTGGATGAAATTTCGTAACCCATGCAAAGCCATATTAAACTTGTGTTCGAAATCGATTTTAAATTAGTCAGACAGCATACTGTTGTACTGCAACAGTTTATCATTAGTGCAGTTTTTTTTTTTAAATTTAAAGCAGATTACTAGTTATTTGACAATTAAAAAATTGAAAATAATAAATATTCTACCCTCATAAATTAGTATAAACATTTGAATATTACTGAAATGATCAATAGTAGTCTGACCATTTGTACAAATTATTAGTGACTGGGATTACCATACATGTTACAACTCCAAGTTAACGTGGACTACTTTTGACTGTAAACGTTTTAGGGATTCACTTTCCAATTATCTCAGTCAGTACAAAACATGCCTGATTTTTGGATAAACCTCCAAAAGGTTTTTAAATCTACCCTAAGCTATATCCAGTGAATAAATTAATCTACCACATCATAAAATTAAATTAAATGATTATTCATTGATATTAATCGTAATAAGAAGTTGAAGTTATTTATTATTTCTGGCTAAAATTTACTAGATAACTAGTGGAAGATATGGATCATTGAATAGTTTTCTGCTTCCAAGTAAGCAGACTCCATAGTGTGTCTAGACTGGATCGTGAACTGGTGACCTGCATTTCTAACGTTGGTCAGTTTGAGACCTCTCATGGTCAACATGAGATGCTAAAGTATGTTTCGATTCCACCATTCACTGCTTTGCATTGGAAATCAGGCAATTTTTCCATAAGTTAGTTACCAGTGAGTGTTACATTCTGTAATGGGTCTCAAGATAACTTCGGATTGACTAGGTTTCAAAACCGCTTCACAACATCTTCACCATGCTTTCAAAAGTCATGGTAATCAGTAAACATAAATATGAAATATAAACTTATTTGATTCACGATGAATGGATTTACTTGTTGATAGCCGTTTACATCATCAGTAAACGGATATCCAGCCTGTTTACCAGCTTCAATCCAGGCTGAATGTAGTGGGTGATTGGTTTTTGCTCTGGATACATATAATGGACCATCAGAACCTCTATATTGGTTGCCTCCTAGTTCATGAGTTTGAGCTTTGCGAAAATATGGCAAGCAATTCGCATAACTCCAACCTATGTAAGCAAGATTTCCGGCAAATAAAAAAATTGGTAATTCTATGTTTGTTCAATAAGAATGTTCTAATTTACAGCAATAAAATGTTTGGAAAACGGCCATCAGGCAGGAAAACAGTGGAGACCTAGAATTTCCATACACTATGTAAACTTCATATTTGTATATATCCTGAATTTGATCTGGTACCCAAACAATTTTCATTGCTCATCTAAAATGCACTCCCATCCAGTCAATAAAATATCATACACCTTCTGAAACACATATTTCTAATTCTTTCACTTTCATTCAAAGATAATAATTTAACTGTGGGGCACTATTAAGTAGTGGCAATTATATACTGCATACGAATTATTTTACTAACTAAATTTAAATCTGAAACAGATTTATTTCGGAGATCTTTATAGAACGTTTATAAATAGTCCATCAATGTTAGCTCTCATCTTTCATAATCAGAAAAAAAAATATGGAGATCAGAAAGAATTCATGTTTTACCATGAAATCTTACTTAAAAGATCTAAGCATAAAATACAGTACGGATACAAAATGCAAAACAAAGAAATGCTCGACAGAGTTACTCAGTAAAATTGGAAAACCATATCGTAAATCGTTCATTTGAAAAATAACAGTTCATCATATCGAACTGGACTGTTCCTGTTGCAAAACATCAATCGATTGTCACTATTAATGCGTTTCATACAAATTCCATTGTTTTCTAACTCTTGCTTTCTTGATCTTCCCCCCATCTTCGGCTGCCAGACATTACGTTGACGCTCACGTCATATACTACTTATAAGTAGCTCACACCACATATGCATATCTTTTCAACCTCATTTATTGGAGGTCATTATATTAAAATATAACGTAGACAGCTTTCCAAAAATTGTAAAAGATACAAGGTACGCTGCTACAAATTGTAACCGTTGTTTTAATAAGAATTTCACTCAAAAAATAAACAGAAAAGTCCACCTAATTAATTTTATAAATTTAATCCAATAATAATTTATCATTAGAATTTAAATGTAAAAATTTCGACTTCATTACCTTCAGCACCCTCTAATTCCCACCTATCATAGTCTAGTGCATGACCTCGAATATAGACCATGGCGTTTAGAGACGAACTACCGCCAAGAACACGACCTCGAGGCCAGTACATAGTACGGTCATTCATATGTTTTTGAGGAACTGTGTGATAATACCAATTATATCTGTTGGTAATATTGAATGGATAAACCCATAGATACAATTAAATCATTAAACATGAATCAGTATCATAATTTACAAGAGTAAAAGTGACCAACAAATATCTATTTTTTTCCAAACTGGACATTAGAGAGCATGTATTTACAAGTAAACTCAAGGAAAATATAGTCGTTAAATTGTTTTAAGTGTACTAAACTGGAAATTTTATGAAACGGTCCAAAGTAAACACATTTTCAGTTCAGATTACTTCTATCTGCTTTGATCTGTGAATATTTACATTCGAAAATGGCCACATTACCAAAATAAACCGTTTTATCCCAAACATAGTTTCGTAAAGTTTTCCAAACGAGCTTATTGCGCCTTATTGAAGGATGATTTTAATGGTAGTATCTACAATTATTGGCAAGGAATAAAAATAAATTTTTGTTTGTTCTTTGGGTTAGTAAATCTGATGATTTAAATAGTTAATTTTATTAGTGTAAGGGGTTTGCAGAGAATGTAGGATTTTCATAGTTTAAATCACATCCAGTGGACGACGTTTTCGTCCTAGTGTAAGACTATTCAGTAGAGCGCATATTTAACCTGGAAATAAAACCAAGGCCATTGGTCTCGCATGCGAACGCTTAACCTTTAGACTTTTACTTATAAAAGTGATGACCAAAGAGAAACAAATTTTTTTATTGAGACATTTAAATCTTACACTGGTTATTAAAATTTACGTGCATCAAATTGTTTTGTCATTGAGATACACTTTTTATTTGCTTTATTTATCACAAACTTCTAAGTTGATTCACATATAAATTTTCTAACCACTGTATTCTTCATTAGCTCAGCATTTGTAATCTATGTTTCAGAAAAATCTTCACATACCGAAAATATTATCAATTGCATGTACATCGATGCATAGACGTAAATTTTTTTTTATTATGAACATAACCAATTATATTTTCGTGTCTATTGTGCACTTTAAATTGATGCATATGTTATTCACAAGTTAGTTCAATACATAATCGAACTAATCAACACATAGATGGTAGTGTGAAAAATATCAACAAATGGATATGAATATAAACACACTAAACTAGTAACTAATATCAATACAATCTATAACAACAATTACGTAAAACGTTCAACCCATAACGTGATCTCTGTTCACAAGTATGGACGTGATTCGTTCAATGATGGTTAACTTTTTAAACATGCTACATTTAGACTTGGTGACGAATATTTAACAGTTTATATTTATACTAATATTCGTGTTATCATAGTTAGGCATCATTATCTGACATGAAAAAGAATGTAGTAATATTTGAAATGAAATGAATACATTTTTTAATAATAGACTGTACGTTATTCATAGACCGTAAATAAATTACGGTCTAATTTTTTCTCGTCGTCAGACATTATGACGCAAAGGTAATCAATAAACATTAACAATAAAGTCGCTTCTTTGTAACATATTTTTAAAGCGATATTAGCCTGTTTAAGTCCCCTAGATTATTTAGTAATGTACCGAAAATCATGATACAAACACGCTGAACAAATGCATGACGTAAAATATGATTTGCTAGTTATAACATACAAACCAACGGTAAATGACTGACGGAAATGATTATTTATTTTCCATATTCTCAGTTCACTTTCAAAGTTTATATCATGCATTCATGTATAAGACAAATAAATTATCTTTGACAACAAAACAGGAAATAAACAACCAAGCAATGATAAATCATGAAACATGTAAAGAAGCGATTACTGGATTGAACTTAATTTTATAAGGTAGGATGTGTATAAAGACCTTCCAGTTAACGTTTAATGGAACTGAGCATGTTCATCAGAGTAATACGTGTGATCTAGTCCTATTAGTTTCTTACTCGTTGACTTCACAGTAATTGCACGAAACAATCACAGCTTACTGATTTACCCAGTCCAGTCGATGGAAATTAGAACATGACCTCTAATCTATCTCACATCTAATCTATTAAGTGGTCGGTTTATTATATTCTCTTCATCGATTTAAATTGTAAAAGCGTATTTATCTAACGTCATGTATAAACCACAGTTTTTATCTCTAACCTAAATGTACGATGATTCTCAGTGACCTTAAAAATGTCAAATTATTAGTAAAAATATTACAACGACGAATAACTCAGATTAATTGGTTTGATCAGAATGATAAACTAGTGCTTACTATCAAGATATCGAAAATCTTACCTATTTGATTGAATTGATTTAGTGGTTCGGACTTACGTATCCAAGATTATCATTACATATACTATGAATATTCAATTAGAATTCAACTTGCCTAATTGTATTCAAAATTAGTCACAAATTTTTATACCAAATGAAAAATGACTTCAAATTAAGGGTATGAATATAAACGATAAAAATATAACGAAGTAAAATCGATCACTAGGTTTATTGATAAATTAAACCCCCCAGGCGCTCCAGATGGTAAAAGTAAAGTTAAATATATGTATCGTGATTGTGATAAGAGTGATCGTTAATGCTTCCTCGTGGAATGGTATAATGCAAAATCTCATAAAATATCTTAAAGTATGTATCTCTAAACGTAACAGAATGATAGATATGTGAGTAGTTAATGTAGAATAAGGGATTGTTAAATGTTTTCGTTAAAATTTCAAAGATATGGCGTTAAGCGTTACATGATAAAATAACGGAAAACAGATTTTAAATAGCTGCTATAATGATAACAATAGATAGCTAAGATAATTTATCGACCTGTGTTCTCTAACCTTTCATTATCAAAAAATGATGAGTAGACCTTTCGTCACTTGACAACTAGCAACTCATATTTTCGGAAAGCAAACACTTCATCATTCTTGCTAACATGTACAAGTAGATAACTTAAACTAATGGTTGCATTTTTTATTCTCGAAAACTGTTTACGTGAACTGCCAGACGCAGTGTTTGATAGTTCAGCATAGTTTTCCACTATTTCTAAGTCAAAATAAAGATGACAAATTTTCCATGAGGCAGAAGCCTTTATCTGATAGAGTCAACTGATTAAAACGTAGCTGTTAGTTAAGTTACTAGCTACAACTGTATGTCTGCATGACTAAATAAAGTGTAATCAAAGGTAGACCAGTTTGGTTCGTATAAAATTTGAATTGTGAAAATTTCTGCATTATATCGGTATTAATGTTTCAATACATTTCCTGAACTTGAAAGTAACTTTTTTTCAAACATTTTCAGCAAACAAAGAAAAGATTTTGCATGTAATTCAGGTACTAGAAAACCGGATATACACAGATAATTGACTAACTAAACTAATAAAATATCTTACTTATTATCACAAAGATTATACATAAGAGCAGCTGGCATCTTAATTGTCCATCTGGAAATTCCAGTATCTGTAGGACCAGCTTCTAGAACCAGAACTTTACTGGAATGTTTTGTTTTAGGATGTGGTAAACTTAATCGATTGGCCAAAACACATCCAGCTGAACCGGCTCCAATGATAATATACTCATAGGAAGGCTTAGATTCATTGGATTTTATTGTTAGCTTTTGATGATTAGTTACGTTAGATGAAGTCGTAAATTGACATTTTATAATGTGTTTATGAAAATAATGATGCTTTATAAATTCATAATATTTTCTATCATATCCTTTTGCCAGAATTGAATTTAAACAATTCATGGAAAATGACAACAATTATCTGCAGTTAAAACAAAAAAAAGACAAAACAGAAATCATACTCTCATCAATGTTATTTGTCAACTGGAAAGCATAAGCATTTTTCTGTTGAGTGAAGTAAGTTTATTTGTTCTGTTATATAATTTCACAGTCATAAGACGAATTGTTGTAGACTACGTGCAGTAAGATTCATTGTAAAAAAAGTAATGATTCACTTGTTTTGTTACTCAGTAGTTAACAGTCGGTTCAGAATTAATAATTTCTGTGAATCAATATTATACTGAAACACCAATGGAGTTGTTATTAAACAATTAAATCCCATTATTCTAAGCTTAAAGCTTTGATAAACTTCATAAAATACGAATTCTTGTTACATAGATGTATTCACCGACGGATGACGTTTATGTTTATTGTATATTGAAAAAAAATCTTGGTTAACCGACAAGCCCACTGCACATGCACATCGCTGCTTTTTAGGCAACACAAGGATTTTCACTGTAGCCGTTTAGTGATCACCCCTGCCCCAATCGGGAACATACTTGTTGTCCTGTTTGCCTAGCAAGCAGGTCGGACGTCCAAAAAGCACTCACACGGACAGTGGGCCCCGTTCGGGCACTTGGGGATCAACAAGATCCCTCCACCAATCCACAACCCGAAATCCCCAATCGGCATGGGCGGTAAGGCAGGCTTACCCAGCCGGACCTGGCACACAGAACGGATTACCGAGTCACTCAGCATTGCACTAACCAGCAGCCGTTCCAACCGCATCCACAGCCTTGCGACCATGAACACGTGCCATTATTCTGGACCATGCTAGGCACGGTATCCTAAGCGTTCGAAACGGCTTTGGCCGCAGCGCTGTGAAAAACACCACGTTGCCTGACTAGTAAATGTTACTGTGCAATTACTCATGAAAAACATCATCAATGCAAGATAATAACTAATTTTCTGAGTTCAGGAAGACGTGAATTGTTAACTTTATCGTCAGTAATGCATCGCAACCAATATGGTCACATAGAGAATGGTCTTCATTCATTTCAGTGAACGGAAATATATTCTTACCAGGGGTAATTGTCTAATTTATTTTGTACTGGAATTGTCAAAACTGATTATACTTGAAGATCTTGATTGATATTGCTTAAACTTACTGCTGGTGACTGCTAACCTAAATGACTAGTGAACCATTATCCACTCTGGGTTTAGCAAAGCGGGTTATTTTTAGTTTCTGTCAAATCATTAGTAGAATTCGGACCAGTGTATCCTTGGATATCAGTGAAAAAGTCTACGAACTATGACAGAAAACAGAATTCGACATACATTCAATCTGTTATCATCATTATATGAAAAGCATGGGTAATGTCCGAATTATTAGTAAGGGACTGTCTTTAAAAGTCTGTACTAACAGCTCTGATGAGCTTTTCTGATATCTAATTAGATGGGATAGTGGAAATGAATGGATACTACATGATAAAAGTCAACAAAATAATGCGCAAAAATATTTTGTTTTCAACAGACAATCCATCGAAAATTTCATTTGAATTCAAAAACAAATAGTTTCATGTAAAATACTTTTACTAAAATCAATCAATTTTATGTCAAAATTACACATACCAGTCATGATCGGAAATAATAAAATGTTCATCACTTCCATCAAAAATGTTTAGTTAGGTAAGTTGGAAGAAGAGAACATAAAATAAGTTCACATCTTTTGTTGTATAAAGGAGAAGTAAAACAGAAATCAGAATTGTTTAAACTTTATTAAATGTACCAATGATTTAAAAAAGTATATGGTTCCATGAATTGGATGATCTATATATCCTTTTCAGCATTGTTTTATTTAATCATCTAAACTATTTATAATCAGTAAATAGACTTGGGAGATAAGATAAGTTTGGTAAAAGTATGTCTGAATAGGAGACTAGGTCATTTGCTGATGAGAATCCAGACAATACTCCAACAGTAAGACCAACCTTAGCGGATCGACCAGAGATTAGATCTGCCAGTGTATCACCGACAATGACTGTTTCTTCAGGTTTGCACTACAAGAGGAACAGCAGAATATCTTCAATACTCTAGAGGGAATTTGAATTGTTTAAAACACGGTGACGGTAGGTTATATAAAAAGTATCTCCAGTCTAATCCAATTTGAAATGTTTAATAATATTTTTTGACTGAAATTTGACCAGTCTTTATTGGCATCCTATGCGGGTTGCCTCAATATAGCCATTATCACACAAATATATCCAGCTGACGAGTCGCAAAAGGATGAAATGTGCGTCCTGGATTCCTCTGCTAACCATATTCTATCCATCTAATATACCGCTGATTTATCTTGCTTTCGTGTCTGGTATTATCAGCGACATCAAATAATTAATCATAAAGTTTAACTAGAAGAAGTAAAGTTGTAGAGCAATGTTTCATTTATTACTTGACGACATTTAATTTCCAGCTTTAGAGGAGAATATTTAAGTCTAGGGAGTTTGAACCGAAAGAGCTGTATAGCATGTAACGTCTGTTAATTTTGAGAACCTTTTCCTCATGCTATCTATCGTTTCGAAAATTACATCAACTAATGTAGGAATCCATTCTATATATAACTTATGCATGCAGAAGTTACTCTTTCAAAGCATGATCGTAATTATAGGTAATAACTAATTCAAATCACCAAAATATAGCCTTTTACACTTGTTTATGATGTGAACAAAACTCTGAAATGTAGACACTTATTCACGGGTTGCAAATAGTTTTTACAAAGTTTAAAAAAGTTGGATTTAACTTTCTTACTGCAGCTTTTTCAATAATTTGAAGCACAGTATGTGGTAAAGGCTTTGGATGACGACCAGCATCTTCTGCTGACATCGTGATATTTACGTAGTCATGCAATTTCTCGTTGGATAAAAAAGTATCACACGCTTTGCGACTGTCCAAACTATTTATAGCTACTAGCAAACCGATTTCTCGGAGTTTATTAACCGTTTCTATCGTATCGGATATTGTGATGCCTGGTATAGAACTTGGACAAATCCATACCTAGAGATATGTATTAAGTGATAAAATGAAAATGAACAGCATGTACGAAAGACGAGTTAACGAAAATGTAATAAGCAAATTTTGGGCTTCATAAATAGTTGCATTTTTCACTAACATTATTCTGAACTAATGGAGGGATGAATTAAAATATGATACATCGAAATACAAGGAAGTTTTGACAGTTAGTAAACTGATACCTATTCCTCCAGAAAACACAAGAGATGTTTTAAATGTTTAATAATTATAACTTCAAAAAATTTGAGAAAAGGTAAGTTTAAATACTGGCTTATCATCCTAATAGATTTCAAGGTTTCTATATAGAGTTCTATGTCAATGAGATGTTGGGTTTTTCCACTTTTAAAGCCCTAGTTCCTCTAAAGCAATCGAAAGAATGGGTCATTCTGTTCAGTCGAAGAATAGTCATTACTCTTGAATTAAGACAGTACCTTCTGGAAGCATTTTTATTTCACCTTTTAGTGTTCAATTAGGTACTCTGAGTGATTACTCTTACTGGATTACATTGTGAAGTTTCTCGCGGTCAACAAGTCCTAAATATAGTTTGACCAGACACAAGTTCAGTTAGAATGATACGCATTAACGCGATGTTGGAAATGTGGGTGAAATGAAAAATATGTAAAATAATCATAATAATCAAAGTATTAAAGTAAACAGAACATTTTATAACAACTAAAAATTCTTATTTATGTCAAAAGATACTTTTTAGCTACACCTAGATCAAACGTTTTCGTAAATTTAAAGAATATTATACTACTATTTATTTAAAAATATCTATCTAAGTGTCAACCAGCTGACTATTTAGAAGCAATGAAGAACCTGATAAAAATGTGAAGCTTTCAACACTTTTATCAGTTTTATAAAGGGTAATCAAACCGAAACCATCTAAAATGAAAATGGTATTCGTGACAACAAAAGCTGATTCGAAGAATACACCTTCACCAGGACTGATGAAATCTAAAAAGGGAAGTACAAAAACATTTTAAAACAATGAAACTTACCTAAATGTGAAGAATTATTACACCTAAGCTCTTGCTAACAATTGTGACAAATTGTATTCCGGGGCGTCGGGCGTTTAATATATCTCTTCTGAAGATCCTAACTAGCTGGCTTCATTTTTCTGATAAAGCTCAATATTATAGTCACCGACTTTATGGGCTGATGCTATATTTCTGTTTCGATTCTATTAGTCTTCTTCTACCCTAAGCCATCATAGTTTTCTGTGACATTTGATCACTAGGCATAAGAATATAAGTCCAAATCAACTCAGCCAACTAAATACCATAGCTTTATCAACAAATCTGATACCTTTATTTGGAACCGAGAGCTTAGCATTATTTACCTGAGTGCTGCAACATATAAGAACAAATCACTAACTTGCCGTGCTAAATAACCACTCCTTTTGATAAATAAACAAATGTCTCATCTGCGTTGTAAGTGATATATTTTGATAGGACGCAAACTAGCGTTTTGTGAGGATTTATATCACAATGAAACATAATTTTATAATATTTTGTTCGGATTTACGATACAAATTTGGAACCTATCCACGTTAGTTAGTTTGTTATAATCTTTCATGTCACATCATATTAAATGTATTTAGCGACCACGATTTACCCGATTTACAATTAGATCAGATTCCTTCACTCCATATCCTTTCAGTATGAGTAAGTTCCTTAGGTACTCTTTAATGAACACCATTGATCCTTCAGCTAAAATACCACTAGATATTTTACGTGTCTCGGAAGCATAACCAAGTATATCCAAGAATGTACTTGCTAGATCCGGAGACGCCTTGTTCGCCAATCTATAAGATATTTAGAGAATAATGTTCTCAAGTAATCAACATTCAGAAAAAAACTATCGACATGGACAGTGAAAACGACTATTTGGTGAAGTTTGTCAAGATTACAGTTTTCACGGAATTCAATATTAACTTGAGTCAATTAAAAATGTCTTCCATCACAGAAAAAACGAAGGAAGTTAAGAAAGATGAGCACATATACGACATGATGGGTTTTAATTTGGTAGGAACCGACTCATTAACAAGATTAGAAGGAAACGAACTGTAGTTTAAATTTAATGTAGATCGTTCTCGGGAAATAATCGCTACGACTGAACATTTCAAGCCATCACGTTTAAACAAATCCCTAAAGTCACATAAGGAAGTTACAAGTTAAGGAGCACTATATTTCAAATTTAGATTTGGAAGCTTTGGATTGTGACCGATTTGGTCTCGTGTGATGTTACGGGTATGAGGGCAGATGTCACTTTCCCGTTGCCCATATCGTAGAAGAGTGTTTTCTGAGGAACCTGAAAAGGAAGATAGATTAGCGCTAGTCTTAGAAACCTGGCAGCGTGACTGCACACCCCAAGGGACAACTGCTTCAGGCTGGTCATGCACGACCGTTTTGTAGGGAGTTTGAAGTATTATCTCCGTTTTCGTTTAAAAGGCCTTACCGCCGGAGACATATACCCTTGAGGTAAGGTGACGTGTGACAATTTTATGGTCAACCTTTTCTAGCCCCTTCCTTCCTTCCAAGAAGGTAGCATTGCTGCAGATGCTGGTTGACCGAGGGAAATACCTTACTGCTGTCACAGCCCTCTACAGTCAACAGTACGACTTCGCTCTCAGACCTTGAGTATCTGTTTTTAGTCGTTCTCCAACCGACCTGCCTGGAACAGGAGAATCTAGAGGAATATACGTTCTAGCCAATATAGCTCGATTGGGTCATCACGATAGGCACTCACGACCAGCACGTCAAGGTAGCAGCCACGGTCGGGTCAAAGTATGATTTGTAATCATAACACGACGTCGCTCTAAAATTCTGGCAGAGACAAACCACTAACTCTTTAGAGGAGAGAGTTACAGAGAGTAAATTTCATTTAGGTAGTATGCTCTGCCTAAGAGTTTGATAGATTATAAAGAGCTTTCCGTTCAAAAACAGGAAATATGTTTAAATGTTCGGAACGTGGGTTGAAAAGACGATGAAGTCTGTTTTTATGGCATTCATTAACTAAAGGTCTTGTAAGATCATTAGTTCACCTTTTGAATATCCCATATATAACGGCAGTCCACATGCGATAGCTTAATATTTATGCCCCATATACGTTCATACAGACCGATTCTCTGCCTACGCCATTTACGTATAACAGGCAAGAGCAAAGAAGTCCACATTCACAAACTTCCTAAAATTCCCAATGACGTGAGTGTTCTTACATAATTTCTATATTTATTTATTCTTGCTCATTTCCACCATTACCAAATCTTAAGCCACGTAGTTTAATCATTACCATTAAAACTGAACCCCTTATCGAGCACTTTACTAGCCGTATTGTTCTAGCATTAGATGTACAACCACACATTCGACTATGTTTATCCTTTAGTTAGTACCTGTGAATAGATAAAACTTTATCCACCCTGTCTTCTCATTGTTTTGTTAAGCATCCACGTTTATCTTCATAAACAAATGAATTTGTACTCTTAACCAACATTTTACTACTTGGCTGGTATATTATATATATATGAGAAAAACTAATTTCAAAGAAATGCTTCACTTTTTAGCTAACTGTTTGGGTGAGTATCCTTGCTTTACTCATAAAACTAAAATCTTATTTCAACGGTACACACCATAAAAGCATGACAATATAAAAGAGTTACAAGAACTTATGATACTGAGCAGCCCTTATATGACGTTAAAATATTATATACAGTTAAGAACAAACCTTTAGGAACCAAGCAGGTGGAAAGTAATTAGCTTGCACTAGATTTAAGCTGTATCCAAATGTTATCCGGTGATTATTATGATGTTTATATTTTATGAATTCAAAATGATTTCAATATCACGCGCTTTAACTTATGTGATGACAGATTATTACTCTTTAACATAATCATGTGAAATCTGTATTTTATTCACTATTTTAAGTACAACCACTTTAACTAACGAGTATATGAAATTACAATAAATATTTGCGCTATTATATCATTTGTCTAACAGGAAGTATTTAACTTCGATAAGTAATCAATTGCTGGACATTAGATATTTGTATATTATAACCGATTTTGATTTATTACTTTGCTTAGCCTTAACTAAACTTAACTGCCTCAGTAATGTCTAATTTCGGAACAACTAAAAGGTTCAAAATCATGAGAAGGAACACGGATTACACAAACACCTAAACAATAGCATTTAAATGAGATCAAAAGTTTAGTTTTTCAAAAAAACGGTATCTAACACACAACATTTACATGCATATGGTACCCTCACTCTACAAACATTGCAACCAGTTAATGGTAGTTTTTAGGCAGTATTTGTCACAGATAGGCTTAGATACAGCATCCACTTGAAGAAAAAGAGCATGAGATAGCCATTTCATCCCATTAGGAAACTTCACACCAATTAGCACAATATGATACAGTTTGGATGCGCCTCTATTATCAACAGAAAAGACGACCGTTTGTCTGTTTACTAAATTGCACATTCGTTTTGAGATATATGTTCTTCTTTCATGTACAATATCTACCTAAGGTTTGCCTAAATCTTGAATATTCTGCCCGCCATTTCTCAGCATCTTTTAGCCAAATTTTTAATTTAGGACTATTTGATATTTATTCTGTCATAATATAACAAAAATATTGTTTTCATTTACTAAAAACCAAAGGTTCATAATGATGATCGTTTAACCGTCTAAAAAAGAGGGTGTTTTACCCTTGATTCTAAGAAAACAAACGTTCGGATAAATAGTTTTACAGTAACGTGAATTTACTTCAAACTATGAATTGCCTATTTATGATTTTCTTTACACTTTGCTTTTTGCTTAGAGTTCTATAGGTTTTAAGCTTCAAAGTTTAAAAAATTTTCGGCAACACCGATGAGGACTCAGTAAATGATTTTGTGGGGTTATGTTACCTGGGAAAATAGAAAGTCGTCTATTGTTTTATTCTAACATTTCCACCTTGTCACCAAACTTTGAGAACGTACTAAAATCTGAAGATGCCTAAGTTTGAATCACATTTTAGAAATGCATACAAAACTCTTAAGACAGTCGGTTTGAAAACTGTTTAGTGAATACACCTGATAATTTAGAGTCAGGCAGTCTGCAAGCTGATAACAGATTAGCTTATTCGACGAATAAATCCTGTAAAACAAAAGCAAAGCACGCGTTTAGTATTCTGTCAAATTTGTGTTCATACAGCTAACGATTTAGATAAAATAATGTTGTTCTGATAGCACAAAAAGATAAAAACACTCCATCTTTCAGGAGTTACGTCAAAGCTTATAGAGCAAATAGCTGAAATTGCCTTACCTCATGTAAATATTTTCACACCATTCAGCCCAGCGAGGATGTACATCAATAAAGCTTCCGTCTTTGTCAATAATAACCAATTTGAACTTTCGACTCGACAACTTTTGATATAATATATTGTTACCCAGTAAAACCCGTCTGACCGGTAGATCAGTTAGTACGAGTGGCAGTATATGACCAACAGATGGTACGATACGTAACTGAGATCTCAGGTGATAGGATTTAGCCTCGTTAACATTGATTTTCCCCTCAGTACCGGAATGTTTAAGCCAAGTTGCTTCCAAATCACTTTGTTGACCAACCCCACTTAAAACGCCAATACACAACCCTAGATTAGCATTCTTTAAATAGAAAATTTAAAACAGGCCATCATATCTGAAATATGTTAATAATTTCATAAGACGTATGCACAGAACTGTAAAAGATACGAGAGTCATATTGAAAAGTGCAGCAAAATCTGATATCTTTCCGAACACTTTATACAAATGTTGTTTTCAGACTTACTTTTACAAGTTTAATCCACGGTTATTAATGTGAAATCCCTCATCGTTCTAGGTAGCTAACCGCCAGAGTTAAGACGAGTTCACAAAGGTATTTCTTACTACTAATTGTGTAAAGATCAAATCTAAATAATTGAAATCGGAACATCTACAAATATGTCAGATTTGTACTGTTAAAGAACTAGGGACGTCGTAAAAATCAATTAGTTGATAAGAAAGTAATTCCAATATGGATCTGCGCATATTTGTTGAATTAAAACCGTTTTAGTCTAAAATTATTCAGACAGAGGAAGGTTGACTAAATAAGCTTTTACTTTATTTAGTTAAGTCATAATATCTCTGAGCATTGTAAAAAGCATACACTTTTGCACCAAGACTTACTTTTGCAAAAGAAATGTCCGTTGAAGTGTCTCCTACCATAACAGTTTCTTCAGGTAACACACGTAGTTTCTTACATATAAATTCAGCATGATCTGGATATGGTTTGGGAGGTCTACCAATGTCATCACCACAAACAACAACATCCATTAGATGTAAAATATCTAACGCCGCCAAAGTTTTTACTGTTCCTATAATTTTTTAAAAGAAAACCATGTTCATTTCTCACAATTTAGACTATAAATGTATTTTAACCAACAACTTATAAAAACCTCCCTTAATCTTACGCTTGAGAACAAAGAATTATCTAACTTGATATTTCTTTTTGAGTACAGCTGAATATTGATAAACAAAAGTGTTATTCAGTTGGTTTTCAGATTTCATTTTACCGTTAATATTCATGTAGGTGATTTATATTTCTTCCCACCTAGGTTGCTAAAAATATTTGAAGTTTAAGATACTGAAATACGATCTAATCACAATTCCTATATCGCAAGTTGAATTCCGGTTAACTGCTGTCCTCAGTAAATACAGTTTAGACCTAGTTTGAAAAAAAATTGGCAATAGCTATTGCAGTCATTTAGAAGTAAATAATCCTCACGCAACTATCATTTCCTCGAATTTTCAGATTGATTTTATCAATAAATTTTATTTCCGCTGCTCTGTTATTTTCTTTCTTTATGAAAAAGCTGAGAGGTGAGGTTGAAATAGGAAGGCTAACTGTTACAAGATTGTTTCACTTGTTTAGAAATCTTATAATCTCTGTAACCAATTACATTATTGTGTTTGTATTTATTTCTTCAGTAATACAGTTATTTACTAATCATTAAGACGAAAAATAGATATTCCGACAAAATTAACTTACGCTTGCGACTGTCAGATGTGCAGATAGCAGTTTTGATCGAGTGCTGTCTCAGAGTAGTTAGGATACTTTTTAAATCAGCTAACTGGACAATATGCTCGGGTGAGAGCGATAACGCTTTTACATGTTTAGCCACGGTAAATTGAGCCGTGCTTTTAGGAATACCATGAGAAGCTAACAAATCTGTTAGAGCAGTTGTTATTTGTTCTTCAGTACCTTCAGCCAACAAACCTTCAAAAACGATAGAATTAATAAGAAAAACATTAAACCTGGATTTATCATATGAGTTTTCGTGCAGCATCCAAGAGTAGTCAGTATCTCGAGCGTCATGTCCTGCGAAATGTCACGTGAAATACTTCAGCGTTAAGGTAAACGAATAAATATCTGTGCAATAATCATACTTCTTAGCAATATTCCTTGCCCAAGGCATCCACATTGAGTTAAAGCAAACAATGGTCCCATCTTTATCGAAAATAACCGCTTTATACACAGGATTTTTGGTTGAAAATAGGTACTTTGACGGATCTAAAGATTTATCAGGCTTGAAGGAATACTGCATGATGTCGACTGGTGTTTTGAATACAGACAAATTAGTTTTACTGATGATGAAAAGTCCAGTGCGCGAATATTGTTTGTACGTATTCAGTATTACATTCATAGTTGTCTTAAAAGATATGAGACTTGTAAGAGCAATGTTTATAATCAAACTATTCTCAGCGTATTAAGTAAGATGGTAAATTCATAGAAATATCGTATTGAATATACAAAGATATTTGAACTGTACAGTCGCAACTAGATAGATTTTGATATACTATCCCACCATTAGTATTAATGATCGTAACCATTGCGTTTTCCTCATTTTAAAAAACGAAGCTTGTCCGAATGATTAGCGACGATATGTTAATTTCATAAGCGCAAACCCCGACCTCTTTTTATATATTCAACGCAACTGAAGGTCGAGGACAATATCCAATAAATCCAATTTCTTTTTCACGAGCTAGTATAAACCAACTGATTTTTTTGCTTTCGATTCTCGATCTTTCTGCACTGTTCCAGGTGTTTGTTACTATCCAATGGATGGAGTTCTAGCTGCTTGATTGTCTAATTCCGGTCAGTTGACAGTTGTTTGTGAGTTTGTATGTCCCGTGATTTAAATAATTACGTTTGTTTCAGGGCAGTAGGGTTTCTGAATACTAGCAGCTATTACATTACCAGGCCGGAGATCAGTTATTTGCAAAGCGGAGAATAATAAGGAGAAAATTCTAATACTAATCAGGAGGATTTCAGAACTGAGTAAATAAACAGATAATTTAGTTTATTAATTGATAGTGAAGATTGTGGGAGAGGATCGAAGTGTAAGCAAGGGAGAGGGAACAGAGATAATAAGCGAAATCGATTAAGTTAGTGATTTTAGGAGATGGTAATAATAACAACTAGTAATTCTCAAGACATGCATCAGGGACAGCTGGTCCAGGGTACTGATAATCCGTGTGTGAGTACGTGTCTATCGTGTCTTTTCTCAAAGCAGACCACTGAGGGGCTGTTGTCACCTCCGATGCATCGGTAAGGTGTTCATGTTAGGATGGTTTGGCTTGCCTAATATGTTGTACACCATGAACAGATCACCTCTGATTCCCCTGTAACTCAAGAAGAATAATCTCAATTGTTGATGTCTATCTTCGTAAGTTTCATTTTCCCACCCTATTACCCATTTCGTGGCTCGTCTGTGCACACGATCCAAAAAATTAAAGTCTCTTTTAAGGAGAAGGGGTGCGACGAAATTGTGAACGTCAAGTTGCATACGTCTTGACCAGAGTTAAGAATAGTTATAGAGTTATAGCAACAAGTTTTCTTCGCAAAAAGGGAAGAGTTCCACTTGTTTTGACTGCGTCCCCTATACAGTTGAGGCTTTCAGTGGCTATTAAAGCGCGACCGTGCTCTAAGCAGACATTAGGGAGCAAACTCCCAGTGAAGGTGTGAATCGCTTGCATCATGTGGGGCAGAACTTACATGACCTGACATTTCAGGTGGTTTAGTTTTAAACAGTTTTTCACTGCCAATTCCTCGAAAGATGTAAGATCCTTTTGAAGCTCAGCCGAATCCTCTCCGCTTCTAATCGACCTCCAGATTTTTGCACCGTTTACGTAGATCAGTGCCGCCGAGCTAAATGTGTCTAACAGGTCGTTAATGAACATCAGTAAGAGAAGCAGACCTATGATGGTCCCCTGTGAAACTCCCTATGCTGATGCCCGCTAACTCACGTGCACTCTCTTTGCCTTGGTACGAGACTTCATATTCTCAAGATAGTTTCTGAGTCAAGAGAGAAGTGGGTCGGTGAAGCCCATTTCCACAACCTTAGCAGTTAGGCGTGCGTGGGATACTGTATCAGAGGCTGTCGTGATATCAAGATATAATACGTGAACCGGTGTTTTTCGGTCCTCGTAGGATGTTGAACTGTCCCACGCTATGAGAAGACAGGATGTGCAGGACCTGCCTTTCTGAAACCCTTGTTGAGCTTCCTGGAGCATTTTCTTCTTATCCATGTACTACCTAATCGGTTCGCTCAACAGCCCTTCGATTACCTTCGATAGTATTGGTAGTAATGCGACCGCTCTGTAACAGGCTTTGTCCGTGTCGCCATGTTTGAAGAATGGAGAGAGTAACTTGTTTCCATTCGGCTGGGAGTTATCTTAACTCCAGTAAATACCTGAATAGGTCACATATCGGTGAACTGAGGGCTTCTTCACACCGATTTAAGGATATGTGGAGAATATTGTGACAACCCGGAGTCCTTCATGGGCTTGAGGATTTTAGTCAGGATTAAGCTGGATATTCTCTAAGACGTTAGCTGGCACTGAGACTGAGTAGTAATGTGAACATGTGATACCTGATTTTACTGACCAGTGAAGTTGGTGTTGAAGATCCCGGTCATTTCTAAGTTTTTCAGGCCTTTGGAATTTGGACCTGATTCATAGGTTTTCTTTTTGTCATGAACCTAAACAGATGCTTAGGGCTTGCCTGTAATTGGACAGCTGGTTTCCTCTGAAAACATATCCTATCACTTCAAACTTTGGTATTTCATCTGTTTCTCAACGCCAAGTAAGAACTACTGTCAGAATCCTTGAAAGAGATTGTAGAATCCTTTTTGAATGTTTTGTTTTTTGGAAAATCCCTCCATGTTTATATATTGTTGTTATGATATGACTGACTCTTTCTGTTGACATTTTGGTGTTTTATTTGATTCCATTTTGAGATTTTATCATTGTATATTGTTATTATTTTTATATTTTGTACTTATATTGAACTTTTTATGTTTGCTTCTGAACTGTACACATGTTGTTTAAACTTGATATATAACATGGCTACAGCCACATTTTTGGATTTGATATCGTCGAAGTATACTAGCTTCACCTAGTCCTTGGAACTCGGATACTCATCAGAGTAATTTCGACTTGGAAGACGTAACAATTGTCAGGTGAACGTTTGTATTTCTATTTCCTTTATATAAATAGACCAATTTCTCCTAGAATTATTGTGTTTTGATATTCGACTAAGGGAAGGTGCGTCCAACATACGTCTATTGGAATCGAATTGAACTACTACGGTAGAAAATCCAACTACAGAGATCTCTCACTAGTACCAGTCTCTCATTTTCGCGTGCGTTTAGTATCGTGCTTAACCCATGTTCTTCTGTTTCCAGATGTTTTGTGCCCGGTGTAGACTGTTTAAGATAGCATTCTGGATTATGTCTCTCATTGTTTGCCACTGATCATCAACTGTCAGTATCCGCCATTCTCGTGACCGTGATGCGTGTAAAAGATTCTCTCTCATGTGCATGTAAGTCGTCCTAGTGTAGGAAAGATAAGGCTCCTTTTCGTCCTGTCTGAGTGTTTCGTTTATGACCATGGTGAACAAGGCTGTGCCATGATCATTACTTCCTATCAGTGTATGGAAGTGCATGTAATTGAATTTCTACAGTGGCCGTTCCAATGGGTTCCAATAGAGGCACTCCTGTACGATTTTCCCAGTTCCGGGTCCCAACCAATTCAAAAAGGACAAAAATTCTAGGAGAAAGCGTCTTTATTAATTAAAAAATGGAAATACAAAGCATTACCTGGAAATAATGCTTCTTCCAGGGTACAGTTACTCCGCAGAGTATCAGACACAGTGACAGATAAGTGACGCTAAGTCCAGCGGCCACTGCATCAATCCAAAAATGTGGCTGTAGCCATATTATATATCAAATTTAAACAACATATGTACAGTTCAGAAGCAAACACAAAAACTTCCATATAAGTACAAAATATAGAAATAATAACAATATACAATGATAAAATCTCAAATTGGAATCAAATAAAATACCAAAAATGTCAACAGAAAAAGTCCGTCATGTCATAGCAAAATTATGTAAACATGGAGGGATTTTCCAAAACACAAAACATTCAAAAAGGATTCTACAGTTCAGGCGTTTAGTTTTTGTTAAAAAAGTCTGAGTAAACATACCTTTGTTTTATCCATAAACGTATGTGCAAAGCCGTTGTTCGACTTTAAACACGAACATTTCCTGTTCCGCTCCTCGTCCCGTTTTCTTTATTCCTCTTTTTTCAGAACCTTATTCCAATCCACATATATTAGTCTGGATATTTGCAGTAGACTTGGTTACCCTACCCAAGAACATGTGAAATCATTAGCTGATGAATATCAACCAGACATTTGTACATTTACCGCATCAATTCTTTTTATATGAAAACCTATCTCTACCATGAATCGTTTCTCAGTCCATAAGATGATTGTCGTGACGCAACCTTCGTAACTTGCGCCAATTGTTCGCATTGTACATTCCATCTTTAAGGAAACAATGAATCTTGTGAAATGTTTCAGTAACTTTATACCGTTTTAAAAGAAATATGTTGCTAATCTTAACATTTTGATCTTGCCTGTAAATTGGCATGTCTCTTGTAACATGTTTGTTATTTGAGAATTAATTATTATTATTAATTATCCTCGACCCAGAGCTGATGATTTGTTAACAAACGATCCAGGTTTGAGGACTTTCACTTCCTTAATCCATCTAGTGACACTGCATACGCGCTCAGTAAGCCCAGAGCTACTTATGTCTGTGCCAAGTAGTCTTTGGTGCCAACCTGCGGGAGTTGTACCCTTTTTTGCTGAGATTTAGAGATGGGATGTTGAAATCTCCAGCTAAGAGTATTTGATGGAACCCAAGGAGCAGGAGTTGCAGTATTTCCCTAGTCAGCTTACCTTTCTAGGCCTTCGTACATGAGGGAGGCTGGTTAATCCCTCCAATCAAGTACTTGGTGCCATTTGTGTGGAAACAACACTAACATTATCCTATTACCTCGATTAGTTGAGCGTCGTGTAGTCTTTCAGCTCGTAATTCGCTGTTAATGTATGCAGCTACTCATCGTCCTGTCTGGCCTACCCTATCGCTTCAGAAAAGTGTTATGCCTAGAAAGCTCACTTCGTCGCCAGTAGATAGCCATATGTCACTTATGATAACCATCTTCATATCCATCCGAGAGCAAATATTCCTGTTTTCTAAAAGCTTGCCACTTAATCCTATCAAGTTACTATATAGGCAATGTGTGGTTTGTTTCATCACCTGGTAAACGTCTTCGGCAATAGCAATTGTCTGATTTTCAAACGAGTTGTTCAAACCGCGTTGGCAACTTCCGTGGGGCCTGGCCTCTGCAGGCATTTTGCCTATACAGTCCATTCAATAGGTGAGACCATTACCTTCGTGTCTTGTGCTGGAGGTTGTTGATCGAGATTATCCACTGTTTGTGTATGCTTTTTTGCCTTCCTGTTGTTGTCTCACAGCCATAGGTCGGCTTTCACAGCACTTTATTTGGCCAGCGAGATCATTCTCTGAGCTGTGCCAAGCTTGAAGTGCCTCAAATAGGACTTTGAGATTTCTGAATTCCACAGATATCAGACGCAGTCCCTAAATGAACAATGAGCATCTTGCAAATCATCAACCAGTAAGCTTAGTTCATTTACCCCGCGACATCCCAACTTCGCATCCATTTATAACTTCAATTCTCGTCATTAGTGAACTCTTGTTGTACGTGGCTTTGGATATCCTCGATGTGAAAAAAATCCTCTGTTCAACTCTGAACATCCATCACAAGCTTACACTCGTCGTCTCTAAAATAAAACGTCTCAGCTAAGTTTGATAATGTATTAATTAAGTCCATATATAATCCTTGCTACAGAAACGTGGCTCGTCCCAGGAGTAGACTGCTCCGCTAATGTTGAACGATAAATAATCTTTCATGTGAGAGATCCCATAAAATGATTTATTATTGGAATTCCGTATCCTGAGTAACGAGTTTCCAAACTGGTTGATTAAGCGAGAAGGTAACAAGCAAAAGGAAATACGTGTGTGTACATGTATTCATTACCATTGAAAAGAAAACCGTCTCTTTAAAAATGATACGCTTCGTCCCTCACGACATTATCTGATGGCCGCTAAATAGCAATCCCATTAGGTCACTTCTTAATGGCTCACTATATCACCGTTCCCTCCTGAAAAACAAATGCCAATTCTAGGGTTTGCTTGAAGGTGCTGAAGTAATTCACCTTATCCCGGTGATCTCGATAACTCGCTATTAATTCTTCTACACTAACCTCTATCTTGGCTTCTGGAACATCAGCCATACTCTTGACGTAGCACTTTCGATTGCAAGATCCCTCAGCCAAGAGAAGTCACAAGGATATGATAATATTTGCCCGCTACTCATCAAACAGTGTGCGGAGGCCTACGGTTCACAGACTCGTAATCTGTTTACCCTTTCTCTAGAGATGCAGAAACTTCAACCTGATTGAAATCGTGCGGTCCTCTCTCCAATTTTGAAAGGAGCAGTTAGGGTTCAGTCTCCTACAGAAAATTTTCATTACTGCCGGTCCCATCGAAGGTAATGTAATGAGTTCAGTGATAAGATTAACAAACTCCATGACGTCGAACGCGCGTACAGGAAATGCATGTCCTGTGCACTTAATGTTCTCATTACACTGTAAGGCTGCACAGCCATGTTCGTATAATATTCTCTGTCTACGCAAAATATTAGGCGCAATTGCTCATGCACTGCTAACAGAGAAGATTATGAAGATAAGCATTGGTTATCTAATTCTATCTTGACTCAGAAACTACCTCGAAAGTTTCTCACCAACCTAAATGGAGTGCATGATAGCTGCTGAGTCTCAACATCAAGATTTCCACAGGCCACCATCGTAGGTCCACTCCTTTTCCCGATATTTAGCAATGAGTTGTTATTTATAATTAACTCAGAGGCACCAATCCGTGCGGACGACATAAAAACTTGAAGGTCCGTGAGAAGCGAAGAGGATTCAACTGAGATTAAAAAGGACCCTAATGAGATTGGAGGAGGAGCATTACAAAAGTTAAAGTCCAGTAAGTTGAAATGTCACCTTACGAACATTCTGCGGGCAAGACACAAACAACTTGTGTCCTCGATGGTAGTTCGCTCCGCAGTGTCTCCTTCGAGAGCGATCCCGATCAAATAACGACAGAAAGCCTTAAAACCCATTGAAACTGCTTTGTAGGTATCGCCAGCTCTTCATTTTATGCGGAGAGATCTTTGTGCAACCACCCGACAAGTATTTGTAATTCTCTTTAAAACATACACACGGCTGCACTTACAAGTTGACAATGTCATCTGAGTCCGTCTCCTCAAAAGAAACGAAGATCTCCTGGATAGAGAACAGAGAAGAGCTACTAAGTGGGTGTTAACGTCGAAGAATAAACATATCGAAGACATACTCCAACACTCGATGTCATCCCATCTGAGTTATATGAGAATCAGAACCAATCTTTTAATGGCATACAACATATTAAGTACGTCGAATCATCCCAACATGAGTATCTTGTCGAAACGTTACCACCCCGCCTCTCGAGATAACACTCGAAAATCTGCACATCACAGAGTGAACACCCAAGTTAATGCATATTTTATATTTGGGAATTGTCACAAATTGGAGCACTCTCTCAACCGAAGTGAACAAGCCGCTTCAATGCACAGCCTCAAGAAGAGACCTAGTAAACATGTACTCATCATTATGTGCATCTTGGATAGCTGTGCCTGATGCATGTCTTGAAACTTGCTAGTTGCTATTATAGTCATTCCTCAGATCACTAGCTTAGTTCTCCTCATCTATCACCTCTGTTCCTTCCTCCTCGCTTACATTTCTGTCCTCCCATACAATCCTCATTTACAATTTATTTAGTTAGTAACGTAGTTATAGAATCTTCCTCATCTTATCGGCATTACAGTCTTCTTGCTACTGTTATCCATATTTCAACTACCTGCTCTCCTATCTAGATGTATGATAGCTGCTGGTATCCAGAAACCTTACAGACCTGAGACTAACGCACTCACTCAAATCACGGCACATACAAATTCATAAAGAACTGACAACCAACTAGAATTAGTGGACTCAAATGGTTAGACTACCATCCACTGGACATTACCAACTACGCAGAGCAGTACCGAAAGAACAAGAATCGAGAGCAAGGGAATCACTTGGTTAATACGAACTCGCGAAAAAGTAATTGGACATACTGAATATTGGAACGCAGTCGATGGCTTACGCTACCAGCTTCAAGTTTTGATTATCAGTTTGTCTTAACCCCATTCGTTTATTATTTCTAATAGTTGTCGATTGATTCCCATATGTGTCGACTCACTATTTCTATTGCTCTTGCTTGTTCCAGATAATCACTCACATTGCTGCACAAATCATACAAGCACAAGGTGCCTTCTGGATAAACGCAGATTTAGCAAAGGCTAAAGTTAAATGTTTTTAATACTTTAAAAACTCAGTATCGTCTTTCAGTTCCGCTTTCCTGAATCGGAAGCCTGCATGACTACTGATTTTTTACATTACTATACTTACTAAAAGTAAGTGGATTTGTGCGCTTTCTGGGTCATTAGCTTGCCTCTTCCTTTATTCCTCTTTTTGTTAGTTCTCTATTAAATGATTCTCAATATGCTACTCTCTTACACAAAGTACCTCCTAGTCGGTTGCGAACTCCCTTATGTTTTCCAGGTCTACTATCTGAATCTGATTTCGAGTTTCTTGCTCTTGGAAGTCAGAAGTATAAATACATATGATGTCTAACTAAGCCAATATTAATTCCTTCATTTTATTGATTTGAATGGATTCAAGTGTTGATGTATTTCAGTATAATGAATCTAATTCCCTGTATACGTACGAGGTCCTACGTTGTAGCTGTCGTCACTATGGCTTGACGTGTTTTTACTTTATTTCTTTTGGAAATTTTCTCGTTATCCTGTTGCTGGAAACACCACTAATCAAAGAGTTGTGATTGTGTAGCGTATTCTCTCTAGAAATAAAATTTACATACCTGAGGACAAACAAAATGTGGTGCAAGTCATTAAAGATTGAGTATCACTGTTGGCTATTTTGTGGCTACTTCATGATGATATAAATCTGTTGAATTCTAGATTATAAGACCCTTATTTTCCTTAAGATTTTTAACATGCCCTAAATTCCTTATTTAATCTTGTGTACCGGTCGTCTTTTTTCACTCTTTCCATTCTTTTGATTTTTCTGTACTTTTATGTTAAATTATCGTGTGCCTGCTGATTGTCTGTTTGCTGCTTATGATTACGTAACTGCTTTTACTAAACAAAGTCAGAAGTCCGTACATTTACTTTTGGTTTATCTTTTTACTTGTGTTGTCTGTAGTTTTATCTTCTGCTTGGTCGTTATGTCCTCTAGAATATTACGTAAATTAAAGAAGGATTCCAATAATTTGGTTGATGACAATGATGACTGTAGTTATGATGATGATCCAATTACCTCAGGTTCTATTTTCTCCGAAGTGAGCTTTGTGATTATATCAATTATCATTTTAATAGTTTACTAATTGTCTTTCCTCACAGTTGATAACTGTCCCTTCCTCTGATGACGACGTTCACGGTCAATCTGAAACTTCAAAGTCAAAAAAGCGGAAAAAGAAAAAAACCAAGAAACAGAAAGTAAGTTGCTTTTCATTTCATTCTGCATTTCCTGCAGAAGACTGAAACAATCGACCAAATGGATGATATTAACCTTTCAAATGACCCAGAAATTGCTGATCCAAATAAACAAGTGGTAGATTTGTTGAAAGTAAATATCAAGATGTTGGACCATGTTGGGGAACTTAGTCGTTTGTTTGGATCAGAAGTTATCGGTGGCTCTAAAACATCTTTACCAAGAAAACGAAGTCGCATCAAACATGGTATTCTTGTGTCGATTAAGTCCACTTGGCCACCTACCATTCGCATTGGTTTGAGTATGGAATCTCTAGGTTGTGGTTTGTATACTTTTGTACACAGTAAAGAGTATCAAAATATCCAGAAGTCATTTTATCATGCTTTAGAATCCATGAATCCAAATAATTTGAGTGTAAGAATGAGTTTTATCGATCAAGTTTTTCCATAGGCTATATTGTATGAAAATCCTTACCACATAGATTCTTTACTACAGTTGAGCCAAATAATGATGCACCAGGAAGATACGACTGTAGGTACAGATCTTTTGGGTAAGCAGAGTTAAATTAGTTGAATAATGTTATTTTTCAGAACGCGCACTTCATGCTTTCCAATCCGCTTTTCATCCTTCCTTTAATCCAGTCAATGGTTCCTGTCATTTAGACTTTAAGCGTCAAGTCAATCGGTAAGTTTTGCTTATGATTATTTTGTTCTTCACACTGAAGAGGTTTGTTTGTAGCACTTTTTCTCTATATCCTGACAATTGGTGAGCGTGGTTGTCATCGAAGTGCACTAGAATACTGCAAGTTGTTGTTAAGGTAAGTACTTCATAGCTTGCTAAGTGATTAACAGATTACCTTTTTGTAATATCAATTGATTAATTAATGAATATTGAAGCAGCCTTAATGTGCAGGGTAATTTAAGTCATATTTAACTGTGCACGAATATTTTTGCTACTTAAACAGATATATTGATAGAGTCTATCATTCCTCGATATACTAATCACCAGAACTAACGCAGGAAAACTCGAAACTCAAGTATTTCGGAAGCCAACCCACACAGACATAATTCTCAACTACGGTAGCAACAACCCAAGAACCCACAAAATCAACTGCATACAAACTTTGTTCAAGAGAGCGAAGACGCACTGCAGCACATAAGAAGCACTAAAAAACGAGGAAAAACACCTTGTGACTATCCTCCAAAAGAACGGCTTTCCACGCAACTTCACCAAAAAACATCGACCGAAGTCATCAACAGAAGTGAAATCAAGTACAGGAACCGATAAACGGATCATCCTACCATACATAGAAGACATATCGGAGTATAAAACACGATTACTGAAACAATTTGGAACAGGTGTGGCACACAAACCAGCTGAATCACTTCAATCAATCCTATGTAGACCAAAGGACAAAATGACAAAGGAAGAAAAACCAAATATCATCTACAAAATAAATTGCCCAGACTGTGAAAAACACTACATAGGACAAAGAGGACGGCCTCTTCAGCTTTGTTCACGTGAACACTACTTAGCAGTCAAACGCCACAATTCTTCGCTTATATTAATACACACCGACAATTATGGACACACATTCGATTGGAATAATGTGGAAATACTGGATAGGGGGAGGACAAACAACACTAGAGAATTTTTAGAATCTTGGCACTCAGGTCAATCAGCAATCAACAAGCACATCGACACTGACCCAACTTATCAACCAATCAGGAAAATCACAGGTGACATAGGATCAAAAAACAGATCAAAAGGGGGATACAATCAAAACAAAAGTGCAAACAACGACAAGTTTAAGGTCAACAGCAACCAATCAAGATCGAGGTTAGCTGAACAAACTACAGATCAAACGTGGAGAAATTCGAATGCTTCACTTTTATCTGAAGTTTGTGCTGATGATGTTGTTCAGAAGAACAATGAAAGCTCCACAACCAAAACATCCAGCTCAGAGATCGAAACACCACCACAATCATCCACCTGAGCTACAAATTTTCACAGTCATCTCAATCCCAAGTATTTCAGTGACTTATAAAATAGACATTTCATAGCTTGTCCAGAGGACATTGTTGGAGATTGATTGTGTTACTACTTTTACTTGACTGCGAAGGTCTTCTGATGATTTCGCAAACACCAGGACACCAAGCTACACAGAATGTCAGATAAGACAATGTCCATCAGCTTTTAAGAATATAGTGGCTGTGGTTATTACCCGGGTATCTTGGAACGTTTTAGTGTACCTTTTAAGTAAGCTATGATATAATAAGGAAAGAGAGTATAGTAATGTTTTTGAAACAAAATCATTACCACAGAACCAGTCTCTGAAATCTTACGTACACAGAAAAGCTTTCCGTGCTTGGACATGCTAATTAATTGATATAACTGTAAGTATTCTAAGTACCATAATAAGCATAAAGTAATTTTCCATGCGCTACTATGTACATAGTGGTTCCTTGCTTTTGTCTTTCTCTTAGTGAGCCTAAGTATCATTCCTTTCTAACATTTACGTCACTTGCTTCAATGATTGTTCGACTTAAATAATGTCTGAAAATTATAACATATTATAATATACTATAACATATTTGAATTCAAAACACATTTTGTTGTACTCCTCAATGATTGTGGTTCAGTTGCGCTTTCACGGAAGTCGGGAAGAAATCAATTCTAATATCTAAGAAAATGGTACAGTGATTTAGCTGCTTGTTGTAGTACTTAGTGAACAAGTAGCTTATTCATGTTGACTGTGAAATTGTTACTCTGAGCAACATTGCGTGCACTGTATATAGGTTGTGCCGTGGGGCAGTGTATTGGCAGTCAAATCATCCAGTTACAGGTCGGAACCCTGTTCTATCTACTTTGGTCTAGGCCTGACCGAAGCTGCTGCCTTGACATGGTGGTCGGGCTTGTCCATCACGACGACCCAACCGAGCTATATTGGCTGGAACATATGTTCCTGAAGGTTCTACCATGCCAGGCAGGTCGATTGGAGAACGATGAGACTAAAAGCAGCTGAGTGCAGAGGGGTGTGACAGCAGTCAGGTGTTTCGCTCACACAACCAGCATCTACAGCGATGCTTCCTTCTCAAAAGGAAGGAAGGGGCTAGAAATGGTCAACCCTAAAAATGTCACACCTCACTCTACCTCACGGATTGCCGTCTCCGGCGGTAAGGGTGCTCACTAAGGACTTTTGAGAGCGGAGTTAATACCCGGAAAACCCTTCATAAAACGGCCGTGCGTGGCCGGCCTCAAGCAGTTGTCTTTGGGCTCTGCGGTCACGCTCTCAGGCTCTAAGACCAACACTACCTTCTTTTTCAGGTCCCTCAAGCAATAACCTTCCACGGTGTGGGCAGCATGAAAGTGACATCCGCCCTCATACCCGTAACAACACACGAGACCAAATCGGTCACAATCAAATCCTTCCTATAACCTCTAATTCCTCTCTTATCTCCACGACTAACTCTTCTCACATTCCTTCATCTCACTGCACCACTAATGCAAACGAAGCGAGTTCACGAAAAGTTATTCCTGGTCTCCTGAAACCCCGCTCTAGACAACATGTTGGAGCTTTCGGACATTGTGTCAAAAAGGCAACAGGCTTCCTTAGCTAGGACATTAGAATCTCGCTCAATCGATGTATGCTGCATCTCGAAAACGCGCATGCAGGATCCTTGTAAAGTCATTAATTTGATCTCACCTTGTCAAAACAAAGAAGCAGCTCGATTTACTCTTCGTGTATCTGGAAGCCCTGATGCTGCTTCCCGGGGTCTCTCTGGTGTAGTTATAGCATTGAGTCGTAGGGCAGAACTAGCTCTCCTAGACTGAATCCCTGTAGATAGTCGATTGTGCTCTGTCTGACTGAACGGGACAGTAAGGATTCGGAAAGATAGGGACACCCGTCGTTGCCTCTTATCTCGTATCTGCCTATGCCCCCACTGACTGCAGTTCAGACGAGGTGAAAGATGAGTTCTACAGAAAGCTTTCGGACCTCCTCCAAAAAGTTAGGCACTCTGATGTAGTAATAATGGCTGGCGACTTTAATGCTCAAGTAGGTAGACTGAGTGAAAAGGAAAGACATCTAGGTGGATGTTATGGTGTAGCGACTGAGAGAACAGACAATGGCGACCGTCTGTTGCAACTATGCTCAGATAACCGCCTATTCTTAGCGAACACCAACTTTAGGCATAAGGAAAAGCATCTGTTGACCTGGCGACCCCCGAAGTCGTCTCAACGTTGGACTCAACTAGATCACATCGTCATCAGCCACCGATGGAGGGGTTCGATAGAAGACTGTCGTTCGTTCTGGGGCACATGTTTAGATTCAGATCATGCCCTAGTGCGAGCTCGTATTAGTTTGAGGCTTACTGGGCGTAGGAAAGACACCGTAAGGAAGCCTCTTAGGGTTTTACTTAATGATAATAAAGCTAAGAAAATATTTCAGGAACAACTAGAAACAGAGTTAAGCAACCATGTAGGCGATTCCAATCCGGAAGCAGGTTGGAATGATATCAAAAAGGCTGTGGAAACGGCAGTGTATCTTCTAGCAAGGTAAACCATAAGGCTAAGAAGAAGCCATGGATCTCAGTACCATCTACTGAACTACCCCACCTGGCTCTAAACATGATGAAGAGCGAAGTCAGTTTCAGCGCAGGCTGATGAAGAGCCTACGTAACGTCCGCGAACAGTGGTGGGTAGCAAAAACGAGAGAGATGGGAAAGGCAGCGGTGATAGGCAACAGTGGACAGTTGTTCCGCCTTATCAAGGAAACTGGTATTAGGAACCCGAATGTGAGTGAGACTATTTCGGAAAAGGATTGTCTTATTATCCATTGTGAATCCAGGAGACTGGACCGATGGGCAGAACACTTTAGGGATCAGTTCAACTGACCTCAAGCCACTCTTCCATTACGCACGATCTCCAGTCATTCTGAATGGCAAATCGACGTAAGTCCCCCGAGACTTGATGAAGTCTAGAGAGCGATAGGAAATCTGAATTAAGGGGGAGCAGGGGGTCCTGATAGATTGACCCCTGAGGATTTTAAGGATCTTTCATCTTTTCCGAGCTGCAGTCAGTGGTAGCGTTGGCAGAGACAACAAAGGGTCAACATGAGTTTACTAATCTTTACGAGTCCTTACTGTCACGTTCAGCAGGACAGCGCACAAGCGACTGTCTTCTGCGATCCAACCTAAGAGAATCAGTTCTACCCTAGAACTTGATACCTTATCTACATCAGCGAGGCCACGGGAAGCAAGATCAGGGCCTCTAGATACACGAAGCGTAAACCGAGTTGATTCTCTATCTGCAAATTTGAAAGCAAATTAATCACCGTACTCGGATCTTGTATGCGCGTTTCGGAGACGCAACACACTTGGGTGCGTAAGATTCAACGGCTGGCTCACCAATTTGTGGTGGCCAATTCCAATGTGTTCTTAAGCTTCGTAATTGGCTCGTCTAGGTAATCGTTACTAAATAGCGCCTGACGGTTATAAATCAGAAGGCATATACGAAGGGTTGAATTCGTTTATTTTTAGCGCACCGCGAAATGAAACAGCAGACCACAGACATGAAATTGATATTCGAGTGCCGGAAGGCAAGCAAGGAAGCGAATGAACGAATCTGCGAAGTGAAGTGGAGAAGGCTAGTGAGCCAACTCCAAGAGATAAAGCATGACTAAGAATTTATAGTCAGACAAAAACAAGACAGATATGTAACAATCGAGATAGGCATGCACACACATGAATGAAAGCGACGAATGATTGACAAGGTCAAAAGACAAGTGGGACAAGTCATGTGAGCTAGACATTGAATGACTCACTACAACACATCGATGGCTCGAGATTCTATAGTCCTAGCTAGGGGGGCTTGTTGTCCCATTTGACACAATGTCCGGTCATTGCATGCTCCAACATGTAATTTAGAGCGGGGTTTCAGGAGACCAGGAACAACGTTTCGTGAGTTCGTAACGTTTGCGTCGGAGTAACGGTGTGATAAGGAAACGAAAGAAGGATTGGTCGTGGGTATAAGAGAGTTATTAGTAAGTCTAGAAAGAACTGGATTATAACCCATTTAGTCTCGTGTGCTTTTACGAGTATGATGGCGGTTGTCATTTCCTAGCTGCCTACATCGTGGTAGAGTACTTCTTGAGGAACCTGAATAGGAAACCGGGTTGGCGTTGGTTTGAGCGACTCAGGAGTTTGATCGCAAAGTCCAAGGGATAACTGTTTGAGGCCGGTCACGCACGACCGTTTTATGAGTTTTTTAAGTGTTTAAAAGGCCTTACCGCCGGAGACGGAAACCCTTGAAGTAAGGTCACGTGTGACAGTTTTAGGGTTGACCTTTTCTAGCCCCTTCCTTTTGAGAAGGCAGCATCGCTGTAGATGCTGGTTGTGTGAGCGAAACACCTCACTGCTGTCACAGCCCTCTACAGTCAGCAGTACGACTTCACCCTCAGACCTTGAGTAGCTGCTTTTAGTCTCATCGTTCTCCAGTCGACCTGTCTGCGATGGTAGTACCTACATGAACATATGTTCCAGCCAATATAGCTCGGGTGAGTCGTCGTGATGGACAAGCCCGACCACGACGTCAATGTAGCAGCTATAGTTGGGAATATATCATTTGAACTTTCTTAAAGTTAGTAATATGGACTTGTATTTTAAGAACGTTATCGTATGATTATCAGTCGCAGTGACAAGAGTAATACCGGTCACTTTTTTAAAAATGGACAGAAACAACTTAACGTTTAGCAACGTGATATATTAATACATTCTAAATCAAAGCATTCTATAAGCTTTATTACAATAATTTAGTTTTTTACAGTTGTTTATAGGATTCTTTGTAAAATTTTGTTGCAGTTCTAACTCATGAAGTTACTGAATTTTATTACATCTAAGCCAATATATTTTGAAACTAACTTAAACTGATTCGTTTTGTATTGCAGCCTTGATTATGAAGATGACCCTTTGGCAGTTCTACTTATGATAGATCGTTATGCCATTTACTCCAGACAGTATTGTTTTCTAATTGATTTATATGATAGCCTAAATGTGAGTTCCAAAATGATAAGCTTCTTTTCTGAGAACATGTTTCACTTTCGATTGTTGTTATTAGTTTTGATTTGTTTTTATGCCTACTAATATTTAAAACCGAAAATGTATCGGGTAAACTCAGAAAAATACACTCAACATCAAGCATAGCTTTAAATATAGAAAGAAAGGAAAAATTATCAGTAGAAAATATCACTCTCATAAAGTATGTAGATAACCTTGATTGTTCCATGTAGCACTGCAAAATTCTGCAGCATGAATATTAGTAGCTCAACGTGTATGCAGTGTAGAGACTCAATGAATTTAAAACAAAATTACATGGCTCAAAAAAATTGTTGTACTTTCTGCTTTCTAAAACTAGATAATTACCTGTAATAGCGTCAGAAATGGAGCCGATTAACGTATGACATGTTTCTTTGCGTGCGGATAATGATACTATCACCATTAGTGACATCTGCTTAGAAAAATAAACGTTGCAATTATTTCTCACTCTTCATCATCAAGAGTGAGTTTTAGAAAAGGCTTTTGTAAATGTAAAAGTTCACTGCATTTCAATGATTCGTCGCAATTAATAAACTGATACTAATCCATCTTACTTTCTAATGCGTGATCGAATATAGCTTTATTGGATATCCTCAGTAGGTCGTGCAGGTCTACCCTATTGGTAGTTATCACGAAACGTTTGTTGTAAACTAACTTCTCTTTGCTCTGTGATGCCATATATTTAAAGGACTCCGAATAGCTTACCCCTGAGATTTTTAAGGATGGTGGTCCAGTTTTAGCAGCTAGGTTGACCGAGATCTTAGATAGAATCTGGGAACTGGAAGTAATCCCATCTGACTGACTGTTCTCAATCCTTGATTGTCCCAATTTATAAGAAAGGATAAAAGTCTTCTTGTGACAATCACAGGGAAATAAGTCTAACTAATATAGTTTCTAAATTGTTAGCCTCGATTATCCTCAGATGCTAACTAGAGCTCGTGAAGAGCAGACTAGAGAAAACCAGTCTGGTTTGCAACATGGACGTAGCTGTATAGACCACATATTCACACTGCGACAGATCCTGGAACACAGACACAGGCGTCCTACAATAGTTGTGTTCCTGGACCTTAAGGCGGCATTTGACTCAGTGGGTCGTGAGGTTCTGTGGCAGTGTCTGTCATTAAAAGGTGTACCGGGGAAGTACATCAACCTTATACAAGCTCTCTACTCGAACACTACTGGTCGAGAGAGAGAGCCTATGGCGAACTGTCTTCGGAATTCTTTACTTCAATTGGTGTCCGTCAGGGATGTCCACTTTCTCCATTTTTGTTTAATTTTATCAGAGACATGCTCCTAGACATAACCTTATCCTCGTCTGAATTTTCAGTAGTGAACTTTCTACCAGGAAAATCGCTTGCTAACTTAGAATATGCCGATGAAATAGTTCTATTCGGTGAAGACGCTGACAAAATGCAGAGTCTTCTGACCACCCTAAGCAACAATGCAAGCATGTTTGGCATGCGGTATTCCCCCTCGGAATGCAAAATGTTGCTTCAAGATTGGGTTGCATCGGCACCTGAACTAGTGATAGGGAGTGAAGTAGTCGATCGTGTTGATCGCTTCACTTATCTCGTAAGTCTCATCAGTGCTGATGGCTTGGTGACTGACGAAATCTTAGCACGGATACAGAAGGCTCGATTGGCTTTTGCCAACCTGCGTCACCTATGTCGTAGGTGAGATATCTGTTTGCTAACTAAAGGACGAGAGTACTGTGCAGTAGTTCACTCCTTCCTACTTTATGGCTGTGAAACATGGCCAGTGAGAGTAGAAGATATTCGTAGGTTACTGGTTTTCGATCATTGCTCGTGTATCCTGGGACAACCGAGTGAGCAACGCTGTTATTAGGAAACGGGTGCTAGTTAGGAATGGCAAATCAATAGATGAAGTAGTGAAACTTCATCAGTTGAGGTTGTTGGGACATGTGTTACGTATGCCTAACCACCGACTGCCTCCTCGAGCTGTTTCGCGATATAGGAATAGGTTGGGCGAAAGCTAGTGGCGGCCGGACCAAAACATGGCACAAATTCATGCGATCACTAACAAGTGGGCCGAGTCATGTTGGTAGTTGTCGACTACCTGGTTTGGGTTCGCGAGACGAAAGCCACCGATGGTTAGAGACCTTGAATGACATGGCTCAAAACCGTTTGCAATGGCGCAGGTGCATTCATTCTTTGTGTTCTCTCAAATCCTAAACTTTTTAATTCCTCATCACTTTATCTTTTTAAGTCTATTTCACTAGTTTCTACTTCTTGAATAATATCTTCTAATACTAACTTCGACTACAGCTAATACCTCTACTACTATTGGATTTGAATTGACAATTACATCTCTGTGCTAATGTGGTATGGCAACATGAACGGATGTACGTACGTACGTACGAAGTTCTACGTTGCTATTGATTGATTGATTGACCACATTAGCTGAACAACAGCAGAGAAAGCCTAGGCACAAGCTGAATACACAGTTGCAACTAAGCAAATGAAGAGGAGCATCAGAGCCGACAATCGTAAATATGGGGAAGACCTACAAATGACGGCTGAAAAGGCTGCAATAGAAGAAAGCATGAGGCAATAGTACGCCACAACAAAGAAGCTCGCTGGAAACTATCGTAAAGCAGAATGACCAATGAAAGCAATCAGCATCGTTGAGGAACAGCGAAACAGGTGGGTAGAGCACTTTAAATAACTCTTGAATCGACCAGCTCCAGTTAACCAACCCAACATCGAAACATAATCCATGGATCTCCCAATCAGTGTTGCCTGACCAGCAACTGTAGAGATTACTTTGGCCATCAAACAAATCAAGAGCGGCAAAACAGCGGGACCAGACAACATTACAACAGAGGCAATGTAGCAGATGTGGCAACAACTGTCTAAACAGTCCACATTCTCTTGAGCAAGATTTGAGCTGAAGAACAAGTACCAACAGTTTAGAAAGAAGAATACCTGGTGAAAATACCAAAAAAGAGGGATCTTTGCATGTGACATCACTTTTTTCTTAATACCAGGCAAAGTCTTCAACAGGGTATTGTTAAACAGAATGAAGGACTTCGTAGATGCCCAACTTCGAGATCAACAGGCCGGATTTCGTAAGGATCGATCGTGTACCGACCAAATTACAACATTACGGATCGTTATGTAACACTCAATTGAATGGAACTCACCGATCTGCATCAACTTCATTGACTACGAGAAAACCCTGACCGTAGCTGCTACCTTGACAGTAATTTCATCATGCTATAATAGACGCTAGGCTGTATTACCAGTTATCAAACTTTTTCAGATAATGTTTTATTAGGTCATAGAATACTTCCTCTTAACTTGTGTACTAAATTCTTGTAGATTTATTGTTCTGAAGAAATTTGTGATCAATGATTGCCAGTAAAAGTGGTGTCTGAAACATATCTGCTCCATATCAATTGGTTTGTTTGATATGGCGTAAAGATAAAGTGTTACTGATTATTTATTATCATTCATCATATCACTCATTCAAACATTCGAAATTTACTGTGCGCTGTCTTACGGATTTTTAATTATATGGGGCTGGAAATAAGAATTTATATGATTAAAAAATTGCAACTCATTATTTTTTTTTGAAGAAATAAAATCGTTTCCAACGTTTCTGATGCTTAATTAAAGGGTTCACGAAACTTGTATTTACTTCCCAACTTCGGTCTATCTATACCATTGGCTCGCAAGTTGGCTGGTGAAGATCCAGAGAAAGGTGATGGGAACAAAATGAGTGTGGATGAATCTGTAAGTGTGCATATTGAATTTCCATTGATATACAAGTTTCCTCAATGTGTTAGTTGATTAATTGTAGATTTAATTGACCTTAACTTCTCAATATTATTTGTAGCTTAAAAATTAGGCTTGAAAAATTTTTTACGGACCCTATTACAACTTATTACCAACCATTCATTCATAGCAATCATGTTAAATAAATTGCCTTACTTTATCAAACAACTGTCACTTAATCTAATAAATTCACAGTAAAACGTCTATATAACTAGGGAAGACATATTGATCGTGTCTAATTATTAACTCACCAGTATTTCCTTTTTGGAACACATTTTACAGTAGAATTATAATTTTGTACTTCAAGCTTTCCATCTTTATTTACTCACTATTTGTTATGATGCGCAGTGCCAAGATCTGAAAGTCCGAACCTTTCCTAACTGGTTGATTAAGTGAGAATATAACGAGCAAAAGGAAAGGTCTATTTGACTACCGAGTAATGCGCAGAAATACGTTGGTGTACTTGTATTCACCACCTTAGGAAGGAAACCATCTCCTAACCAGTGATACACTTTCGTCCTTCATGACATTTTATAATGCTCATTAAATAGCCTTCCAATTAGGTCAATTCTAATTAGCCCGGTATATCACCATTCCCTCCCAAAAAACAAATCCAGATCGTAGGGTTTATCTGAATGCGCTGAAGGAGTTGACCTTTTCTCGATTATCTCGGTAACTCGCTGTTACTCCTTCTGCACTGACTTCTGTGCTCCCTACTAACTGTAGCAATCAGACAATGCAATAGTTAGTTCAAACCACGAAGTTCTTTATTGAACTGTCGTGAAACACCATTTTACAAGACGGTCACAAACTTGCGAATCTGTTTTTCTAAAGTCTTATTTGTGTATATTACATATTAGGTATTTCAATCTAAGTGTCGGATTACCCTACTTGGTCGTTATTTTAACTATGTGCCTAATACCCCGTGTTCCCCATCATTAGTTTTGTTTTTTCCTTCTTAATATTGTAACGCGATTGTTTTGTTATGCGACCTGGCTTCATGTGTATTTAAATGAATGCCTGAAATATAGCAGGAATCTTGGCCATAGTTCTTGTGTTCTGCGTTCGGGGCTAGTTATTGATGGGTTAACTTTGAAGCATAAAGTAGCAGTTCTCTAGTTTTTGTTGTTTATAGGTCGTCTCCGCGTAAGGCTCTAACAGGAACGTGTACAAATGTCTTATGAATTTCGATAAAACCTTGTAAACTAGTTGGTCCTATCTATTGTTGATATTTCGTTGTATGCTTTCATGAATTGTTGCTTTTACTTAATTCTTTATACAGAGATTTGTTGCGTTACGAATAAAGATTTATTACTTTAATGTCTTTTACAAAATCCACTCTAGCTGTATATGCTCCTATCTTTTAGTTGCAAGATGCTTTAATCATGTTTCCTGGATTTGTGTCGCGTTTACTTAAACATACAAGCATTGGTGGCATTAAAAATCTTGACAAATCTATCCTTTTTGGAAAGGAAGTCCTATTGAGGTACGTTTGATTGGTAAGTCATTTGGTAGTTAATGAATGATTAGTAACTCTTTAAATACCTGACGACCAACATTAGTGTTAGGATATTCATCCAATATCCTAAGAGAATTATTGGTCGATTCCTATTGGTTAATTCCTGCTGGTCAATTTTATGGTCGTCCTAGATATCAATGTCACCTGCTCTAATGTTGTTTCTTATTGGTTGTCCTGACTATCAATGTCACTTCAAATGTTACTTCCTATTGGTCTTCTACAGCCTTCTATCAGTCATCTACAACGTAGAACTTGGTACTTATGTACATCAGTCCAAGCTGCCATACCATATTTACACAAAGAGATGGAATCGTCAATTCAAATCCCATAGGGGCAGATGTATCCATATTTTGTCTTCTCTCAAATTCAAATCTTTTTAGTCCCATGATTTTTTCTCTTTTCAAATCTATTTAACTGGGATATACTACTCGAGTCATATCTTTGATGCCTAATCCTATGGATTACCGCTAATACTGCTACTACTTCTACTGCTATAGGATTTTAATTGACAATTTTATCTCTCTGTGCAACTCTCTCTGGCAACTTGAACTGATGTATGTACGTACGAAGTTCTGAGTTTTAGCTGACTGACAATATTTATTTAGGTACTTAGCTGTTTGTCTGTGTTTGTGTAAGCCAAAGCCTTTTCGGATCATTCTTGTGCCATTGAAATTAATTTTATGACGAGATTCTTGGCAGTACAATGCTTTCGGTGAATTTTTCCCTATTTTACTCAGTTCTTTTTAGAATTTAGGATTGTGCTTTAAGCAAGGTTTGTGTTTCTTCACTCTTAAATTCATCTGTCTTGATGTTTTACGTACATACATAGCGTTATCGGCACTCCACTTGATCTCATATAAGAAATCCTGTTCCTCATTTGGTACTGAGTCTGTAATTCTTACTGGTTTTTAGCTTGGAGTATTCTTATTACATTGTGATAAATGTGGATTCTTCTGATTTCTTTTGAAGTTCGTTTATAATATGGGGTCACCAATCTGTTGACGTTTTTAGACAGCTCATCAGTTCATTTAGTTTTATGATGACAAAGGTGTCATCTACGCACCTCAACCAGACTTCTGGTGGATGGACTCACTTTGCGACTGCACTTGTTCTCAATTAATGTATAAATAAGTTAACAATTGGGGAAAACGATGATCCCAAAGCTACGCCTATCTGTTGATACGATTCTCTTTGAGAACTAAATAAGGTAGCGTGTAGAGATGGATCTATAGCTTTTGTAGTGAATATCGCTGCTTTAGTTCGGTTTCTGAAATTAAATGATTGTATACGATATCTCATGCCTTCATAGTGAACAAAGAGCATGCTCCAAAACTTACCATTTATTCATCTTCCATATAGATGGTGTAGTGAAGGAGAACACAGGTGAGGGCAACCGTATCGTATTTAACGAAAATTACTGAGTTACTCAGTAAAATAGGAAATCCTTATCGTAAACGGTTAATTTGCAAATCTTCAATCCATCATCAATCCATTGTCTGACATTTCACTATTCATGCGTTTCATACAAATTCCATTGTGTTCCCACTCTTCCTTTCTTGATCTTCCCCCATCTTCTGCTGCCAGACATTACGTTTACTCTCGCGTCATATACTACTTATAAGTAGCGCGCACCACAATGGTAGTAGTGGTGTCTTTGAAGTCATTAGAATTTTTGACTCCGAATGTTATTTCTTTTTCATATGGTTTGAGAATCTTGGCAAGGTATTTAGAAACACTATATTGTGGTGAACTTATATGAAGAACCACCGGTCTTAGTGGATAATTCGTTTTATGAATTTTTGGTAGCCCGTAAAATCTGTAAAGGCTGTAGCTTTTCGGATTTGAAGAGCACTCCAGAGAATATCCTGGTTTGAATTCTAAAGATTTTACTATTTCTACATTTGTTTTGGTTGATTTTTCACAAGGTCCATAAGGTTCACTTACATATTTATACATACGTTTTCTTAACACACTTCACACCAAGTGCCTCGTACATATTACAATTTATCTCACTTTCTATATCGTTAACATGACTGAATGATTTGTTTGTTCTGGAGATAACCGGTGAACCAGTGTATTTATATTTCATAGTTTTGAGTTTTGATTGTATTTCCTTGGAAATCTTAGACCAGATTGTCGAGCGAAATGTTGGATTTACTTGAATTTCAGTCTCCAATACGTACAAATAAGATTTTTTTTTATATCTGTAATTTGATTTGAAGGAAATCTGTGTGTCTAATAATACAATTTGATTCTAATTCCTTACGTTAAAATTGACATAACGTTCGTATTAGTCTTTATTATTAATGCCTACTCTGTTGTTGGCTTTTATTTTGACAAGTGAATCAGATAGTCTCGGTTGTTTGATAAGTCTGTATGTCGCTCGTATGCATCCAATTTGGTCCTCACCTAACGTCCTTCCTTGGTTGGAAAAAAATATTGCGACTGTTTTAACTTTGGTGGAGCCTGAACAATGCCATCTTTCTAAATCTACTATTGACCCACGTCTTTCTGAATATTCTAAAAGGTGAGTACTATTTTGGTAGTATTTGTTTTGATCATATTTATTTTGATTACCATCCCCGTATATCTCCCATGTCATGCGATGCTGCGATATTTTTACATGACTTTGAGCTCCTTAAACTCTATTGGGGTAATTTGTTTATGGTATCAAACGCGTATGTCATTTTTTCACAATGACATCCAGTAAGCATAAAAAGTCTCTACTGAATCACATGATAACTGCAGAATTTTGGCTTTATCAGGGAAAGAAATTCACCTGATCAAATTAAAACCAAATGAACTTTCTTAACGGTAGTAAATTGGATCTGTGTGTTTACTAGCAAAGGAAGCGGAACATTTACTTCACTTTATATCGTAATTATTAACTGGGTCATCCATTGTTTTAAATTTACGCAGCAGTAGCTGCTAGAAGAGTAAAGATCATGATATTTAATCTAACGATTAATCACAAGAAAAATTGTTAATATAGGCTGTAATGTAATAAAAGTTGCTTGTATTTAATATCAATTCTATTCTCCAGTTTTTCTAAAGATAATTTACAAATCAATTATGAAGCTAACAAAACTTTTTAATCTTCGTTTTTTGTTTGCATTTAGGCGAAAGGCTCTTTATCCTGCTTTCCCGCCGAAGATTTTAAGGCACCTAATTTTGTCTGAAGTTCCTGAAGCTCCACCTATCTTACCCAGAGTTAGTAATTTACCGGTTAAATAAAACTTTCTTTGAAATTTTAATATAAATATACTGTTAAAAAGTAATTCTTTACTATTTAATATCATTGGAACAAATGTTATATTAGAACAACACATATATACAACACAACATATATAATTTTCACAATGGGAATCTTCAAATGTTATATCACAAACGTGATAGATATTTTTATTGTAAAAATTCTTGATAATATACCACTCATGTTTTTTAATTGCAAATCAGAAAACAGAACCTGCAGATTATGGAAAATACATTACTCGTACAGCCAGCATTTTCGATTCCTACTATTGATATTTCCATAACTGACATGTGATCATCCTCTAGCTCCCGGTTCATTCAAAGTCTTAAAGTTACAATGCCTGGCTAAAATTTCGTGGGCTAATCGTGTAGTATGTAATACTAGTAGCACTATTATCGAAGATTGGTTGTTTTGTATCAAGACATCAGGATATATGATGATGATGATGATGATATCATACAAATATCCAAATGACGGTATAATTATTATAAGTTGTTTGTGAAATAGAATATCTGTTAAGAGATATGTTATTTCCAGAATATTCAGAAAATAACCAGGCTTCTTTTCGAAATGACTGCTATTTCGAATTTTCAAACTGCGTGCATACCGTTAAATTAAGAGCCCACGTATTATACAAATTAATCTGAATATAGTTTGTATGATACAACCATTCTCAATATTTGTTAAGTTTATTGCCCTTTTAAATCGCTCACAGACATGAGGATAAATGCTTTTAGGTAGTAATATCATATTTCAACTGTGGTGGAATGTGCAAGTAATTTAAATTATTTCCAACTTGGTCCTTATATCCTGAATTTCACTGTATGCATTCTTCAACAGGCATCAACTGCTGGGTAATATTGACCTTCACAACATTGCAGGCCAAATGCGTAACATGTTTACTTAATACAAAATTGTAGTGCCCTTTAGATGTCAGTCAGTCAGTTACAACGTAGGACTTCGTACTTAAGTACATAAGTACTAGTCGCCATACCACATTAGCACAGAGACACATTTATTTCAAATCCCATAGTAGTGGAAATAGTAGAAGAATTAGCGGCAATGAAGAATATTAGGGATTGAAGGCGTTATTCAAGAAGTATAACTCAGTGAGATAACTATATAAAAAACGATAGAGATGATGAGGAATTCCGTAGATTAGAATTTGAGATAACAAAAAGATTGGATGCACCTACTCCATTGCAAACCATTTTGAGCCATGTTGTTCAGTGACTCCATGGATTTCCGCCAAGTTTTGGTCTGGCCGCCCCTAGCTTTCTTCCAACCTACTCCTACACCACAAAACATAGCTCGTCGCGGCAGTCGGTGGTTAGGCATACGTAACACATGTCCCAACCACCTCAACTGATGAAGTTTCAATGCTTCACCAATTGATTTGCCATCCCTACCTAGAACTCGTTTCCTAACGACAGCATTGCTTATACAGTTGTCCCATGATACACGAGCAATGCTTCGTCCTTTAGTTAACAAACGGATATCTTGTCTACGCCACAGGTGACGCAAGTTGGCAAAAGCCAATCGAGCTTTCTGTAACCGTGCAAAAATTTCGTCAGTCACCAATCCATCAGCACTGATGAGACTCCCTAGATCAGTGAAGCGGTCTACACGTTCAACTACTTCACTCCCTATCACTAGTTCAGGTGCCGATACAAGCGAATCCAGAAGCAGCTATTTGCATTTCGAGGGTGAAAACCGCATCCAGTATATGCCTGCACTGTTGCTTAGAGTATTTAGAAGACTGCATTTTGTCAGCGTCTTCACCAAATAGAACTATGTCATTAACATACTCTAAGTCAGCAAGCGAGCCTCCTGGTAGAAAGTCCACTCCTGAAAATTCAGACGAGGATAATGTTGACTCTGATAATATTCCTTTATTGTTGTTGGTTATTCTCTCTGTTTGTGATGATTCGCATTAATAATCAATCATCATTGGCGTATATTTCAATCCAGAAATTTCACACACCTCTTAGTTAAATAATTAATGTATATATTATCATGTTTTTTGAGATTGATTCAATAAAAAATATTTTCTAAACCTTTATTCCCTAACTAAATGTTTTTCTCTTTTTTAGAATTTAACAAGTTCTTCGATTTATACATTCGATCCTTTCCCACCCAGAGGTTCTATCAACATTTACGACCCAGAGGAAGAAAGGTTAGTGGAAATAATATTGTACGTATTTTTATTTGGTTTTATCTAAGTTTTTAACTGTTTACCGCCCCTTTGACTATAGTACACTTTTGAATATACGATTAGTTTTTATTTTAGCATTGATTTATCGTTTTGCTGTTTTAGTCCTACTACAAACGAACTGCGCCTTGAACCCCTATGTGGCTACTGCTAGTACCAAGCCCGGATAAAGTAGGAGGGTTGGGCGTGGGGTTGGTGACCCGTCCCGTAGAAAACTAACTCGCTAAAAATGCTAACCATAAAAACTAATTTAAATCATTTAAACTCTGCCATGGGAGCAAGAAGGTCTTCATTCAGAAGAGTTATGATGTCTCGTAATGAAAGCTGAATTCCTTCGGACGTCACGAGGCCGATGCCGCTTCTGACAACCAAACCAACCACTACTTTAAGTACATGAAATGTTCGTAAAATGTGGAAAACCGGGATAGTCATCCAAGTTGCTTGGAATCAGTAAACACATTGAAGGGCTGCTGTTATACTTCGGCTATGGAGAAGAAACTGCTCTATAAGCACAAGCAGTTGCACTGATGCTGTTCAAACGAGCACAAAAGGCACTAATAGGATGGAAATCTCATGCACCCAGGATCATCAAACCCTTCTTCAAAACAAAGAAAGAGGGCATTACAATGAACTTCATGCAAGATGGTGGAGAAAACTTGTAGCTTTCAGTCGTCGAGAGATGTTCATCAAATACCAAGGTTGAAATGAACAACACCGGATATGCAGATATCATGGGACAACATGGACTGAGAGAAAGGAACCCCGTAACATCTCTCTTATCTCCACTACCAACTGTTCTCACATCCCTTTAACACTCTACACTGCGAACGCAAACGATTCGAATTCACGAAACGTTATTTCTGGTCGAAAGAAGAAGCTGCCCGGTTTACGCTTCGTGTCTCTGGAGTTCCTGATGCTGTTTCCCGTGGCCTCACTGGTCTAGGTACGGTATTAAGTTCTAGGTTAGAACTGATTCTCTCAGGTTGGATCCCAGAAGACAGTCGCTGTCCTGCAGAACGTGACAGTAAGGACTCGTAAAGATAAGTAAACTCGTTGTTGTCTCTGCCTACGCTACCACTGACTGCAGCTCGGACAAGATTAAAGATGTTTCACATAAACGTTTCTAACCTTCTTCAGAAAGTTAAGCGCTTTAATACAGTAATAATGGCTAAAGACTTTAATGCTCAAGTGCGTAGACTAAGTCAAAAAGAAAGACACCTGGGTTGGTCTTATGGTGTCGCGGCTGACCGAACAGGAAAAGCATCTCTTGACCTGGAGACCTCCAAAGTCGTCTCAACGCTGGACCCAACTAGATCACATGGCCATCAGCCACCGATGGAGGGGTTCGATAGAGAACTGTTGCTCGTTCTGGGGCACATGTTTGGATCCAGGTCATGCCCTAATGCGAGCTCGTATTTGTTTGAAGCTTACTGGGCGTAGGAAAGACACCGTAAGGAAGCCTCTAAGGGTTTTACTTAATGATAATCAAGCTAAGAAAATATTTCAGGAACAACTAGAAACAGAGTTAAGCAACCATGTAGGCGATTCCAATCCGGAAGCAGGTTGGAATGATATCAAAAAGGCTGTGGAAACGGCAGTGTATCTGCTAGCAAGGTAAACCATAAGGCTAAGAAGAAGCCATGGATCTCAGTAGTATCTACTGAACTACCTCACCTGGCTCTAAACATGATGAAGATCCTACGTAACGTCCGCGAACAGTGGTGGGTAGCAAAAACGAGAGAGATGGAAAAGGCAGCGGTGATAGGCAACAGTGGACAGTTGTTCCGCCTTATCAAGGAAACTGGTATTAGGAACCCGAATGTGAGTGAGACTATTTCGGAAACGGATTGTCTTATTATCCATTGTGAATCCAGGAGACTGGACCGATGGGCAGAACACTTTAGGGATCAGTTCAACACAGTAGTAGTATTAATCGACCTTAAGTCGGCATTTGACTCTATTGATCGTGTGGTTCTGTGTCAGTGTCTGTCATTAAGAGGTGTACGAGAGAAGTACATTAACCTTTTACAAGCTCTCTACTCGAACACCACTGGACGCTGCTTCTGGATTCGCTTGTATCGGCACCTGAACTAGTGATAGGGAGTGAAGTAGTCGAACGTGTAGACCGCTTCACGTACCTGGGGAGTTTGATCAGTGATGATGGATTGGTGACTGACGAAATTTTTGCACGGTTACAGATAGCTCGATTGGCTTTTGCTAACTTGCGTCACCTGTGGCGTAGACAAGATATCCGTTTGTTAACTAAAGGACGAGTGTACTGTGCAGTAGTTCGCTCCGTCCTACTATACGTATGCAAAACATGGCCGGTGAGAGTTGAGAATATTTGTAAGGAATTAGTATTCGGTTATAGATATCTTCGAATTATTGACCGTTTATCCTTGGACAACCGAGTAAGCAATGCTACTGTTAGGAAGCTAGTACTAGGTAGGGATTGCATATCAATAGATGAAGTAGTGAAACTTCATCAGTTGAGGTGGTTGGGACATGTGTTACGTATGCCTAACCACCGACTGTCGCGACGAGCAATGTTTTGTGGTTTAGACGCTTTGTACATGGCTCAAAATGGTTTGCAACGGCGCAGGTGATTCCATTCCTTGTCTTCTCTCAAATCCTCATCCTCTTGATTTTCCATCCCCCTTATCTTTCTCTTTTGAAGTTTATTTCACTAGATTATACTTCTTGAAGAGCATCTTTGAACCCTAATATATCCGATTACTGCTAATACTTCTACTACCTCTACTACTATGGGATTTGAGTTAACAAATGCGTCTCTGTGCTAATGTGGTATTGCAACTTAAAGTGATGTCCGTTCTGCGTTGTAACTGACTTCTGCATGTTCAAATTACCATAGAAGAGTGATCTTTGCATGTGTGAGAATTACTAAGGCATCACTTTTCTCTCAATACCAGACAGTCTTCAGTAGGGTATTGTTAAACGGGATGAGGGACTTCGTAGATGCTCAACTTCGAGATCGTCTCAGGATTTCGTAATTATCGATCAAATTCCAACAATACTGATCGTTGTGTAAGAATCAATTGAATAGGTCTCACCATTCTACCCCAACTTCATTGACTACGTGAAAGCATTCGATAGCATGGACAGAAAAACACTATGGAGGCTTCTTCGACATTACGGCGTGCCTGTCTAATAGTTAACATCGTACGGAATTCTTATGACGGATTAAACTGCGTGACCGTAGATGGAGGACAGCTGAAAGACTTGTTCGAGGTGAAGTGTCAGACAAGGGTGCTCACTCTCACCCTTTCTCTTTCTGCTGGTGATCGACTGGATCACTAAGTTGATAGGCAAGGTGGATCTGATGTGTATGTGATTTGAATCGGCAAAGCAAGGACGACTTTTCTACAATCGAACAACATCTGGAACTCGAAAAAATTGTCAACGAACACGAAAGTCAAAATTTTCAGTACAAATATCAAGACAGTTCTACTGTATGTGGCGAAACCTGGAGAAATACTGAAACCATCATACAGAAGAAAGAAGGTTTGATTAACAGTTCTCGACGTAAAATACTTCGGATCTGTTGGCCAGACACCATGAGCAAGAACCTACTGCGTGAGAGAACAAACTAGATTCCAGTGGAGGAAGGAATGAAGAATGAGCCATGGAGGTCGGTCGCACGCACATTACGGAAAGCCGTCGATCCCATCATAAGACAAGCTCTCACTTGGAACCCTCGAAGACAAAGAAAAAGAATATTAAAAGACACATTACGCCTAGGAATGGAGACAGGCATGAGAATAATTAACGGGAATTGAACAGACCTGGAACGGACGCCCAGGACATAGTAGGTTGGAGAATATTGGTTGGCAGCCTATGCGCCATTGGGAGTAACAACCCTAAGGTAAGTACGTAATTGTGAACGAACTAATGTTTTAAAGGAAAACCATATCTATTGGGAATTTCAATTTCTCTAATTCTTAACGTGTATTATCAATTTTCTACAGACGTCGCGTTCGTGGGAATATGGCTGGCGTTGGATTCCTCAGTGGTCTTCTCTCATCTTTTTTACCATCAAGCTCTATAGTTTCTGAATTGAATCTCCCCGGTCCTTCTGATGCATCAACAGTTAGCGAAAATAATTCAGGCAGTGTTGGTGGAATCATACGTGCTGCAGCGGAAACTTTTTCCGCCACTCTTAGACAGGTGTTGGAAATGGTTGATATTCGGCTAGCTGGCTTGGAGAACGAACACGTAGATAATAATCATAGTAATTCTTCCGATGACTCATCTTGACGCCTAATTCTTGGTTATTCGCTACTACATGCAAACGTTCTTTTTTAAATAAAAATAACTGGACCCATTCAGGTTAATGTATTACTGTGATAAAAGGCATGTGTATATGTTTTGAAATAAATAATGCAATTGTGGTGAAGTGATCTAAATTGTTTAATAGTTTTTAGAGAGCACATGTTTATAACATGGGAAACATCGCTACAATAAAAACAATTGTATCGATATAATATTTTGAAACTGAGTCAGTATTTGCGAATTTCCCAACATCAATAGTGGTGAATAAATACATTTAAATGAAAGCACCTCACTACAGGATGACTCGAACATAAGAGCGATAAGTTAGTTACCTACTACTTCATGCTTTGAGCCTGGTAATAATGAAATCCTACTATAATTAATTACTTCATCTCGTTTTTTATTCTGCCTATATATCGTAATTAACATTTACTGAAATCTGTGGTACTGGTGTTATATATATCATCTAGTTCAACAGTTCACCAAATTCTCAATCAAATTTGTCGTGATGTGTGGTATATACATATATATATATATATATATATATATATATATATATATATATATATATATATATATAACTTTGAAAAATGAATCCATTTCTTGACCAATTATATGCATATGCCCTTTAGGATATTCCAAACCGTTTTTAATAGAGACATTCAAGATGGACATATGCAGGTCATTGAATACAGCTTGCAAGAATACATTAATATAATAATAAATTTTTTATCACGCTGTTTATTCATTACAAAGCATGTTGCAGAACTACCTCACATTTTGAATTGCTATAGCTTGCGATATTCAATGGTCATTTCTTTCGAAAGAACTTTTATCTCCATATATTTAAGAGGTATGCTTTGTAATCCGAAAATTTCCTTCAACCTTTCAGAAATTGATTTTCTACGCACTTGGTCTCCTAGCTAGTCTATAGTGTCTCGACGAGGTGATCTTATAGAACTAAAACATTCCACTCAACTGGAAAAAAACGAATGATATCCTGTCTCTTTTTCAACCTAGCGCGTCACACATGGTTAAACAGGGAAAAGTTCACAATTGATTTGATATTAATTCCAACTGTTTCAGTAGAAAATCATCGGTCTGAATATTTTTCGTTCCTATCGTTCATCTTACAGTAACCAGCAGAATCATTTATAGGAATCAAGATCTGTGGCTTATATGTCTCTCCATATCATTTGTTACCATCGCTGAATGAAATCTTGCTAGTTCGGTATTCGCAAGAGAATTTGTTGTCTTTGGTCATCATGTCTGCTTCCGATTCCAAGCGCTATGCATTACTTGGTCTTGATCTTGAGAATTCTAAGTTAGGGCTTGTCTTATGGTACTATTTAATAGTTTTCCTTTGAGCATCTATCCCCAATTTCCTTGCATAGACAATTAATGATTTTATTTACTTTTTCATGTAAGTTGTATTGGTGGAATTAACGAAACCATCAATACTAGATGGAATAGTAGCAAATTTAGTGGAGACAGTTTACTAACAAAATGTGCATACCTAACCACCAAAATGTCCATTTGAAAGACAAGCAAGCCGTTGATTGTTTCGTTTCACGATTCTTCTAGTCTTCAAAATACCCGTTTCGCCATGCACCCCTATCCCACAGTCTCTCTGGTAGTTACTTCTGTGAAAAAATCCACTGCGTACTACTTAGAACCTATGTTACGTGAAGTGTCTACCACAATAGTTTCGGCTCAGTAGAATATAACTTTGCTTCTCCAGCTGGTGCATTCACGTTTCCAGATACTCCTTGTATATCATTCATGCTGTCTAGTTATGAAGTAACATTTACTGCTCCCAGAGGTTCACTATGAATTGTGTCTCTTCTATGTACTACTTCCGAATCTTACTTTACTTTGCGAGTATTGGGTATACTGTCACAGTTAGCGCTAATAGTCTTCATCTGTATTTCCTTGCTGCTTGCGGTAGAAATGATGTGGTCATAATCATGCAGCTATATTAAATGTGCTTACTGTATTTCATGATTTCGTAAATTGGCTGGGAAATCCAGTCGACAGCCAGAAGATAGGTGAAATCTGAAGGTTGGTAGCTTCGCTCGATACTAGTTAACAAATGTTGAATGTCTGAGCTTATAAATATGATATGATTAAATCCTTCAAAGAACTTTGTAGTGGCTGTTCGAGTTGGGACCAAATACGTTCTAGTCTTAATGCATTCTCCTGTCGTAAACCGAAAACGGAAAAATATATAGACTAGACGAAGGCGTATATATTTGTGGTATCAAAATAATACTGGAATCGTGCCAGAGGATATGGGTGAGGGTAAACAGAGCGTTAAAAACAAGGTGACTATCATGTAAGCGGAAAGTGCGATAAACAAGGAGTTCAGCAAAACAATCACTGGTACGATTAATTAAAATAATGAATGTTTGTGTCTAACCAGTTTTGCTCTCTTCATAAAAGTTGGGTCACAAGAAGTTCTTTTGGATGTAGACAGACTTCTAATTAACTCCAGTGTCTAAAATTATTCCATGAGAAACGCTAAAATAACGTTTACTTTGCGATTTCACACTTTCCGAAAGGTAATTTACTCAGATGCTCACAAATACTCCAAAAGTCCGACACCTTCTTCTTCTGATTAGACTAGGAATAAAACAATTTTTAAAAGCTTAATGACTATTAGATAGGATATGGTCCAGTAGAAATAAATAGCTTATCAGATAAAGATTACACGGCAGAATCTTATGCGCACCTATTAGCTATTTCAAAACTATTCATGACGTAACTTGTTAGACTAATTAAGACTGTTACCCATTATGGAGCATAGATCACCTAACATGAATTCTCAATAAACTGCGTCCTGAGATTTCCTTTCTGATTGCTCCTAAGTGCTATTTATCTTTCTCATGTTTGTCTTCAATTTCCTGTGTTATATGTTCTTCGGTCTCCCTCCCTGAGGATTCAAAGTAACGACTAGCTTTGTGATGCAGTTTGATTATTTCCATAATGTATGACTACGAAATCCATACCCTCGTAGAAATTCGGTTTGATGTTTAGGATCTTCTCAGATTTTACAGGGTTTCTAGGAGAATTCCACAAGATTCTATCCACGTTGTCAAACGCTCTGTCATATCAAGTAAGCTGGTGAACAGTGATGACATCAATCCAGTCACCTGCTGAGTTGCCACTTGGTTGACACAATCGATACTTACTCATTCAAAGCTGGCCATCTACTGAATCTGCCATTTGGGCCAGCAACACTAATGAAAGCCTCGCCTGCTTCTACAAGAAATAGGATCCATCCGCAAATCTCAAACTCACTAAGATCTCTCCTTGGTATCTTGACGAAATATTTCTCTTTCCAGTTGGTTGGTTTTTGTTCTCCTTCCCAAATCTTCCTGACGAGAATGTGGAATACCTTTACAGTTATCGATATATCCGACTTCAGTGACTCAGCTGGTATGCTATTCGGTCATTGGAGTCATTCTTGATTTATATTTGGTTGGGTAACACCTGTAGGTTACTCCACCGGGAGCTTCTCTGGGCCTCAAGCCCAGAAAAAGGAATGGAGTGAGCTAACGCATACCGTAATAAAATAACTCTCTAAAAGCACGCTTACCAGAAAAAAAAATTCAAACCATTTACACTCTGCCCTACATGCTGGAAGATCATCGTTTAGAAGAGTTATGACGCCTTATAGTAGAAGTCGAGTTCATTCGGAAGTCACGAGGCTTCATGTTCCTACTAACAACCGGAATAACCATTAGTTTGGGTACATGAAGTGTTCCTATATTGTTGGAGACCGGGAAAGTCATCCAGGTCGCTTCAGAAACAAAAAATACTACCTGGTCCTACTTGGAATCAGTGAAACACATCACACCGAGAGAAAAGAACGAAAACGGTGAGAGATTTGCAAACTTATGTGCCCTTAATAGACTGGTTATAGGCGGCACCATATTCACACCTAAATGCCTTCACAGAGCTAAGTGGATTTCATTGAATTGTATTGAAACACGTATACGAAGAAAACGCAATAATGAAATGGAAACATTTATTATTGTACTCCTTTCGTTTAACTGAACTAAAAAACACCTCGCAACTTTCGTTTTTGCCTTGCTGTCATTCATAGCTTTCTGCTCCCTATGTCACCCACTTTCTCCTTCAAATATATTCTTTACATAGGATTTACTCATACTTGATTGACAGGCTGGTAATTAGTGATCAGTATTTAGTGGTGATCATAGTTAATCCCTACTCGGTCACTACTAAAGTTGGTTAGCTGACGTTTAGTCGAAAGAAGTCCATTACGGTGAGTCTGTTACGCATCTATCCTCTTCTTTATAAAGTTACAATATTATTAGCAATGTCTTTCAATAAATATTTTAATTACAACAACGCTTTGAAATGGTGGAGAGCTATATTGTAATAAACTCCGAGGTGTAGGTCACTGCATTTTCACATGTCTCCTCCCCGTTACTTCAGGCTGCAGGTTTATGTTACGGGCAAGATTTTTACACTAACGCTAGGTACTTGGTGGCCACGGATGCCTAAATTTCTGTCGTATGGTCTGGTAGCTGCAAGTCTCAAGATACGATGCTACTACTACGCACTTCGAATGACAAAACCTCGCCGACTGGCACCAGGCAAATGAGCTTTCGCTAGACATGAGTTTGACAGTTTACTAGCTACAGTTATTATTCTCACAGTCCTATTCCTCACCACTCCACATGGTTCACAAAAAAAATAAGATAAGTTGGATTTCATGCGGTAACTACCGAGCACGATTATTTGTTCTAAGATTGTCTGGTACGAGCATATCATCAGATTCCAGAGGCTTTTGAAGATGTCGAAAAACTGCTATCATGACTCTTTTTGAGTTCCTACGAATTTCAATTGCATTACGGAATAATAAGAATGATATATTTATTCTCAAATAACTTCGTAACAGGAGTCATGCCAGTTTACAGGCTAGATCAAATTGTCACAAATGCTTTCACATTTACTGTAAAGGTTGTAGCAGTCAAAGTAGGTATAAGAGTCAGTTTCTGAAAGCATGTTTACACCATGTTACTGACAGAAAAAGTATGATACAGCCACATTTTCAATAGGAGAGTACAAATAAGGAAGGTGTGTTACGGGAGAAACGAAGACATT